CTGAGATATCGAAACTCAAAAATTCGGCCCGAAAAAAAAAACGACAGTGGTACCCCTTACGTTTTTTTTTTTGGGCGAAAAATTAAGTTTCTCCAATCTTCCCAAAACTCTGGATTCTGATAGAGGGCCATGAGACTTAGACCTGAGTGCAAAAATGGAGGCTCTAGCCCCTTCCAGAGCTGAGATATCGAAACTCAAAAATTCGGCCCGAAAAAAAAACGACAGTGGTACCCTTTACGTTTTTTTTTTGGCGAAAAATTAAGTTTCTCCAATCTTCCCAAAACTCTGGATTCTGATAGAGGGCCATGAGACTTAGACCTGAGTGCAAAAATGGAGGCTCTAGCCCCTTCCAGAGCTGAGATATCGAAACTCAAAAATTCGGCCCGAAAAAAAAACGACAGTGGTACCCCTTACGTTTTTTTTTGGGGCGAAAAATTAAGTTTCTCCAATCTTCCCAAAACTCTGGATTCTGATAGAGGGCCATGAGACTTAGACCTGAGTGCAAAAATGGAGGCTCTAGCCCCTTCCAGAGCTGAGATATCGAAACTCAAAAATTCGGCCCGAAAAAAAAAACGACAGTGGTACCCCTTACGTTTTTTTTTTTTCGGGCGAAAAATTAAGTTTCTCCAATCTTCCCAAAACTCTGGATTCTGATAGAGGGCCATGAGACTTAGACCTGAGTGCAAAAATGGAGGCTCTAGCCCCTTCCAGAGCTGAGATATCGAAACTCAAAAATTCGGCCCGAAAAAAAAAACGACAGTGGTACCCCTTACGTTTTTTTTTTTTCGGGCGAAAAATTAAGTTTCTCCAATCTTCCCAAAACTCTGGATTCTGATAGAGGGCCATGAGACTTAGACCTGAGTGCAAAAATGGAGGCTCTAGCCCCTTCCAGAGCTGAGATATCGAAACTCAAAAATTCGGCCCGAAAAAAAAACGACAGTGGTACCCCTTACGTTTTTTTTTTTGGGCGAAAAATTAAGTTTCTCCAATCTTCCAAAACTCTGGATTCTGATAGAGGGCCATGAGACTTAGACCTGAGTGCAAAAATGGAGGCTCTAGCCCCTTCCAGAGCTGAGATATCGAAACTCAAAAATTCGGCCCGAAAAAAAAAACGACAGTGGTACCCCTTACGTTTTTTTTTTTTCGGGCGAAAAATTAAGTTTCTCCAATCTTCCAAAACTCTGGATTCTGATAGAGGGCCATGAGACTTAGACCTGAGTGCAAAAATGGAGGCTCTAGCCCCTTCCAGAGCTGAGATATCGAAACTCAAAAATTCGGCCCGAAAAAAAAAACGACAGTGGTACCCCTTACGTTTTTTTTTTTCGGGCGAAAAATTAAGTTTCTCCAATCTTCCAAAACTCTGGATTCTGATAGAGGGCCATGAGACTTAGACCTGAGTGCAAAAATGGAGGCTCTAGCCCCTTCCAGAGCTGAGATATCGAAACTCAAAAATTCGGCCCGAAAAAAAAACGACAGTGGTACCCCTTACGTTTTTTTTTTTCGGGCGAAAAATTAAGTTTCTCCAATCTTCCCAAAACTCTGGATTCTGATAGAGGGCCATGAGACTTAGACCTGAGTGCAAAAATGGAGGCTCTAGCCCCTTCCAGAGCTGAGATATCGAAACTCAAAAATTCGGCCCGAAAAAAAAAACGACAGTGGTACCCCTTACGTTTTTTTTTTCGGGCGAAAAATTAAGTTTCTCCAATCTTCCCAAAACTCTGGATTCTGATAGAGGGCCATGAGACTTAGACCTGAGTGCAAAAATGGAGGCTCTAGCCCCTTCCAGAGCTGAGATATCGAAACTCAAAAATTCGGCCCGAAAAAAAAACGACAGTGGTACCCCTTACGTTTTTTTTTTCGGGCGAAAAATTAAGTTTCTCCAATCTTCCCAAAACTCTGGATTCTGATAGAGGGCCATGAGACTTAGACCTGAGTGCAAAAATGGAGGCTCTAGCCCCTTCCAGAGCTGAGATATCGAAACTCAAAAATTCGGCCCGAAAAAAAAAACGACAGTGGTACCCCTTACGTTTTTTTTTTGGGGCGAAAAATTAAGTTTCTCCAATCTTCCCAAAACTCTGGATTCTGATAGAGGGCCATGAGACTTAGACCTGAGTGCAAAAATGGAGGCTCTAGCCCCTTCCAGAGCTGAGATATCGAAACTCAAAAATTCGGCCCGAAAAAAAAAACGACAGTGGTACCCCTTACGTTTTTTTTTTTTCGGGCGAAAAATTAAGTTTCTCCAATCTTCCCAAAACTCTGGATTCTGATAGAGGGCCATGAGACTTAGACCTGAGTGCAAAAATGGAGGCTCTAGCCCCTTCCAGAGCTGAGATATCGAAACTCAAAAATTCGGCCCGAAAAAAAAACGACAGTGGTACCCCTTACGTTTTTTTTTTTGGGCGAAAAATTAAGTTTCTCCAATCTTCCCAAAACTCTGGATTCTGATAGAGGGCCATGAGACTTAGACCTGAGTGCAAAAATGGAGGCTCTAGCCCCTTCCAGAGCTGAGATATCGAAACTCAAAAATTCGGCCCGAAAAAAAAAACGACAGTGGTACCCCTTACGTTTTTTTTTTTTCGGCGAAAAATTAAGTTTCTCCAATCTTCCCAAAACTCTGGATTCTGATAGAGGGCCATGAGACTTAGACCTGAGTGCAAAAATGGAGGCTCTAGCCCCTTCCAGAGCTGAGATATCGAAACTCAAAAATTCGGCCCGAAAAAAAAACGACAGTGGTACCCCTTACGTTTTTTTTTTTCGGGCGAAAAATTAAGTTTCTCCAATCTTCCCAAAACTCTGGATTCTGATAGAGGGCCATGAGACTTAGACCTGAGTGCAAAAATGGAGGCTCTAGCCCCTTCCAGAGCTGAGATATCGAAACTCAAAAATTCGGCCCGAAAAAAAAAACGACAGTGGTACCCCTTACGTTTTTTTTTTTTCGGGCGAAAAATTAAGTTTCTCCAATCTTCCCAAAACTCTGGATTCTGATAGAGGGCCATGAGACTTAGACCTGAGTGCAAAAATGGAGGCTCTAGCCCCTTCCAGAGCTGAGATATCGAAACTCAAAAATTCGGCCCGAAAAAAAAAACGACAGTGGTACCCCTTACGTTTTTTTTTTTCGGGCGAAAAATTAAGTTTCTCCAATCTTCCAAAAACTCTGGATTCTGATAGAGGGCCATGAGACTTAGACCTGAGTGCAAAAATGGAGGCTCTAGCCCCTTCCAGAGCTGAGATATCGAAACTCAAAAATTCGGCCCGAAAAAAAAACGACAGTGGTACCCCTTACGTTTTTTTTTTTGGGCGAAAAATTAAGTTTCTCCAATCTTCCCAAAACTCTGGATTCTGATAGAGGGCCATGAGACTTAGACCTGAGTGCAAAAATGGAGGCTCTAGCCCCTTCCAGAGCTGAGATATCGAAACTCAAAAATTGGCCCGAAAAAAAAACGACAGTGGTACCCCTTACGTTTTTTTTTGGGGCGAAAAATTAAGTTTCTCCAATCTTCCCAAAACTCTGGATTCTGATAGAGGGCCATGAGACTTAGACCTGAGTGCAAAAATGGAGGCTCTAGCCCCTTCCAGAGCTGAGATATCGAAACTCAAAAATTCGGCCCGAAAAAAAAAACGACAGTGGTACCCCTTACGTTTTTTTTTTTCGGGCGAAAAATTAAGTTTCTCCAATCTTCCAAAACTCTGGATTCTGATAGAGGGCCATGAGACTTAGACCTGAGTGCAAAAATGGAGGCTCTAGCCCCTTCCAGAGCTGAGATATCGAAACTCAAAAATTCGGCCCGAAAAAAAAACGACAGTGGTACCCCTTACGTTGTTTTTTTTCGGGCGAAAAAATAAGTTTCTCCAATCTTCCCAAAACTCTGGATTCTGATAGAGGGCCATGAGACTTAGACCTGAGTGCAAAAATGGAGGCTCTAGCCCCTTCCAGAGCTGAGATATCGAAACTCAAAAATTCGGAAGGCTCTGGAAGGGTCTAGAGACTCCATTTTTGCACTCAGGTTTAAGTCTCATGGCCCTCTATCAGAATCCAGAGTTTCAAGAAGATCAGAGAAACTCAAAATTTTGACCCCCCAAAAAAACGAAAGGGGTAACACTGTCGTTTTTTTGGTGCGAAAAATTAAGTTTCTCTGATCTTCTCAAAACTCTTTATTCTGATAGAGGGCCATGAGACTTAGACCTGGGGGCGTCGTCGGCCGGTCACTCAAAAATTTCGGGGGGCCGGCGCGCTCGTCCGCCAACCCACGTCCGTTTGCCTATATATGAATCGAAATACAGTGACTTGCTGGCAACCATCCTGCCAGTACTGTAAAAATACAAGAAAACACAGGATGCACACAGGAAATGACTCTAACATGAATGCATTGATTGATTCCTAGGTTTATTTTGTTATGAATAAACAAATGTGCAATATAAAGGAAAAACCTTACGATTAAAGTTGTAATGTTATAATGTTCAAGGTTTTGTTCTAAAAAAAGAAAGATGCACAACAGAAAATGACTCTAATATGACCAGATCGATTGATTCGAATATATTTAGTTTGTTACAAACAATGTGCAATCTGTAAAATAAAAACCTCAAAATTATAGTTGAAATGGTATACTGCTGTAATTTTTTTGACCTTGAGAAAAAGCTTAAAATGTAGACCAACAAATTTTATGTTTATGTTTATGTTTTTATGTTTTCATTTATAGAAACCTCATGAACTGGGAAAATTTACTTTTATATTTTTCAGAAACTTGAAACATAATTCAGGTCTGAGGGGATTAACATTTGCCAAATATATAACTTTTTTTGTTATAAAAAACAAAAAAAAGGAAGCCTAGACCACGTGAGAAAAAGTAACACGAGAGTAATGTAACATTATTTTTCTTAAAAAGTACCTTTATTAGTTACTTTGTATGAGAGTAACGCAATATTGTAATGCATTAATTTTAAAGGTAACTTTCCCCGGCCCTGTTGATTCTCTTGTGTTTGATTGAACTGGTGAGTCTGACCTCGTACTCGTCCGTCCTGCAGACCAGCTGGAACTGAAGACACTCGTTAGACGCGGTGCAGAGACTGTTGGACGAGTTACTGGGGCTGCGGGAGACACAGGGCACGGGTCAGCCAGCGCAGGGTTAATAACAGGGGTGGAACAATATATCGTGTGCAATAAATGCAACAATATGTATTGTTCTAGGGGTGGGCGATATGACCAAAACGATATGACTAATTTTATTTCACGGTAACGATATATTTCACGATATAGTTATTTATATAGTTATTCTAAAAAAAAAAAAAAAAAAAATCGACAAAAAGGGCTTTGTATAATAAATAAACCCAAATACTTTAGAAATGAAAAGTATGTCACCTTGTTTTATTTTTATTTTATTTGGTAAATTATTTATTTGGTAAACTATTTTTATATCAAAATATAGTAAAAAACAACAACAAAACACTCATAAACGTTTAGATGAACTTCCCACAACAGATATTAAAAACAACTCATAGGTGCGCATTTCAACTTTAAATAGTAATTTTTCAATCTCATGCATTGCTTTAATTCATCAATCAGTTTATAATATAATTGTAATATATATAATATAATTATAATATTATTTTACCACATGTGTGTGCTTATTATACTGCGTTTTTAACGGAGAAGGGTAGGCCTATCACAACCGGAGACTGCACTGTTGTTTTAACGGGCTTGTTTTGCTCTTTTTGTTATATCTGGCAACCTGTCAGTTCAGAAGTGACAAGAAGGAGAGCAGCAATATGAAAACCAAACCGCAGCTACTGTTAGTGTTGACTAAGTAGTTTAAATTATAACAGTGCGTCGAACACCGCGCGCTCCCTCTCAGTGCATGTGCACGCGATCTCCACAGGTGGCCTCCCCGCTCCCCTAGGCCTATCCGAATATTACAACTGTTCTTCCACCACCTTTAAGAGGTCAGCAGCCAAACGGGTGTCGGCGCCTGATAAGGCAGAAAATTCTCCCAGACGTTCCAACAACGTACTGTTCTATCACCTACATACACATAGCCTAATAATCTTCGGAAATACCTTTTCTCTGTTCACGCTCCACTTTAACTGCTAAATGATTTAATGCTCGTATTAGCTCTGCCGCAGCAATTTTTTTCAACAGCTCAAAACACGTAAATATAGCCATATGCTGTGTTTACCTGTTGTTGCCGAGGCCCGCCTTGATGCAGTGATTGACAGGCCAGGAGGGGGCGTGGTCGGCTCGGATTGCATTTTCAATGTGCACATTGAATTTTGCTACATCCATTGCAGGGCATTTCGTGAAAATGCAATCACGAGTGTCTTGACTGTGAGTGTAAATGCAATTAATAAAAATAGCATTTGAATGATCATTTTGCCACAGTTTTTGCTTGAACATGTTACACATATCTAATCATTTCTGTAATGCATTTTCATTTTAATTTTGCCACTTAAAAAGCGTTTCAATTATGCATATTAAAACTAGTGTATGAAATTGCAAATGTAAATTATGTCATTTCATTTTCATTTTCATTTTGCACCAAACGTTGCTAGAATGGTAATGTAAAATGTAAATTTAAATACAAAATGCAATGCCATTTTACATATTGCATTGTCATTTTGCATATTACATTTCAAATTGAATAATGCTACACATAAGCTTCCATACGAATCAAAGGAAGATTTTATCAACTGGTTCAGTAGGCAATTGTTTGGAGTTAAAATATATATATATATAACTCGCGCTGCATATTTAGAAATTTTGCCTCAGAAACAGGATTATTCGTTTAAACAAGCAGGATGTTCATTCATGCTGAATGCGATTTTCATGTTTAAAAAGTAACTATACATAAGGATAACTATACATTATTTAAGGTTATTTCTCGTAATGATATTGATATAGCCTATGAAATGTTGTTATCAAGTAACTTCATGCTTTCCCCGTTGCGAACGTGAACGTGCACTCGTCTAAACGGTAGCCTGGGTGCTGCTGCTCTGCTCAAGTTAATGGCTGCCTTTTCCCCGAACATATCACGTTAACAACAATCCTTTAGAAAATGTAATTCCTTTGTGGATCCTCTTGATCTGCTTTCTCCATGTGTCTTTGACAAATCTCAGCGTCAGTCTCATGCGCGCTGCACGGAAGTTAACCACGCCCCCTTATTTGCATTTCGTGGTACACGGAATAAAAAAATCTGTTACTGACATTTTCTATCGCGGTAATATCGCCATATCGCCCAGCCCTCACCAAAATCAAAATTACTGTATAAGAACACATTCTAATTTGCAAAGTTTTAGTGTCAGTTCTACATTAACTACACGGTGACATGAGGGAATGATTAATAATGATGAGGAATATCTGACCCTATGCTGACGGCCAGTGACTCCAGCGACAGCAGCGACAGCAGCGACAGAACACACACAATCCTGTAAACACACACAATACTCACATCGATTTTGATGTATATTATTGACATTGCAATACTATTACTAACATGTGTGACTTTATGATATTGTGAAGAATGAGTTTGGACCCCATTGACTTTCATTGCATGGACAAAAAACTGTAAACATGTTATTTTGTGTTTTACAGAACAAAGAAACACAAACAGGTTTAGCGAGTAAATGATGACGGGACGATCAACTAACTAAAATAAAATGTTAACATAAATATTAAAATATTATTTAAATAATAACTAAAAATATATTAATTATTAAATTATAAAAAATATTTGGAACATAAAAAGAATTACTAAATGAAAAATATTATATAAATATTAAAATAAAAAGTGACATTTTTAAATACATTTAAAAAGTACAAAGAATAATATATAGCCTATATATATATATATATATATATATATATATATATATATATATATATATATATATAAATTCATTCAAAATATTATATAATATTATTTAAATTCATTTTATTTTATTTCATTTTAAACATTAAAATAAATACTATATATAGTATTTATTTTAATATTTTAATTCATTTTATTTCATTTTATATATATATATATATATATATATATATATATATATATATATATATAAACATTAAAATAAATACTAACAAAAACAAATACAATTTTACTTATATAAAACTATTTGGAAATGTTTCTCCAATCTGAATATTAGTAAATGTCCTTAAGTGAAATAAGTAAGTGAGATAAGTGAAAGTTTCATAGAATTTCATATTATTTAATGCTTACATTTTCTCGTCAAGTTCAATATTTCATCAATAACTTGCCAAACCCTTGTGAGTGCAACAGAAAAAAAACAGCAAAATCACAGGTTAGATTTGTTTCTAACAATGTGAGATTAAAAGAATAACTGAAATCGACTGATCTCACCAGAATGTGCATCTTTACAAACTGTGTTTACAGTTTCTGTGAGGCGTTTGAAATACGTAACAATTAATGACCTGTAATATGAACGAACGACCATTTCTAAAAAAAAAAGTGAATAAATCATGCGTCGATAAGACGTAATTCAGACATAAAAAATTTATCAGATGAAAAGTCAAAATCGTGTAAAAAAAGGGAATTATGGCATAATAAAGTATAACACACAAAAATAATTATGATTATGAGATATAATGTCAAATCATTTGTTTTCATTTCATTGCCAAAAGCAATTTTCTATTTATTTTGAGCAGGAATGGCTTCCATTATGACTAAAACACTAATATGAATAAACAATTATTTAGTCATTACTAATAATTAAAGTAGGCCTAATATATATATCAAAAAAGAAAACTGAAAAATGAGAGAAAATGCTGTATCATAAATAGAGTCTCTGAGCCAAGAATAGAAACTTTCAGCTGATCCTCGTTTACACACTCTCTCTCTCTCTCAGACACACACACACACACACCGCACTGCGGAGAAACTTAAACCCGAAACGCCCTCATCGATCACACACATCCCTGTCATAAAACATTTATTTAACTATTTTATTCCTCAATGCAAATATGAATATTACAAAAAATATTAATATTAATCTGCAACATTACCAAGTCCCGATAACTCAGTCCATCCATCCCCTAATTTAAGGCGGATGCAGTAAAAACTTTTAAGATTTCAGGCATTCATCAAAACTGCCCATTCAAGCTCATGCATTACAGCAATCCTCACATATTTAACATCCACGCATTTTTGTAACAAAACCAAATTCCCATATTATTTTATACTCACATTGTGGTTTATTTGAAAGCGCGAGATGAAACTGGGCGGATGACATCAGCACCGGAGCGCGTGCACGATCATCTGCGAGACGCGTGCGCTGGAGCACGAGACGTGAGAGGCGCGCGCTGCGGAAGCGCTAAACAAACTCTTTCCTCACACATTCACAAATCAAAGAAACGAGTCGACAATTAAGTTATTTGATTTATTTTAAACTCGAACACAATTCACATGATAAACCAGCAAATAAATCAAGCAGGAAAAGTTTATTTCTCAGTTTTTGGAAATATTAGCCAGACTAAAAGCGTTGAAGGAGGGAGTAAAAACTGGAGTGAAGTTCTCACGTCTGAACCGAACTACAGCGTCATATTATAATGACTGAAGTTTCGCGCGCTTTCAGTGCTGACCGTTGGTTTTGGCGGCAACGCTGCAGTGTAACGTGTCTAGTCCTTCATTTATAACAGGATTCATTTCAATCATAGAGTAGATGGAGTCATCAGAAAAATATATCACAACCAACTCCAAAGAAGCAAAAGAAAGACAAATCATTACTGGTGCCAATCGTTATCACATCTGATAAAATTCTCAGGAGTTCATCCAGGACAGAATATAAATGTTAACAGTCCTAGACTCCGGTGAAACACACATTAAATATATTTATATAACGGCCACAAAACCACCTATTCCATCTGTCTGAGGAAAAAGAAACACTGGTTTCATTCAGATTACGTTTCAGCGTAACTGATGGTGTCTAGGTAACAAACCTGTTTTATGAACAACAACCACAACCTCCAGCCGTCTAATAAAAAAAAAGCAACAACAACAAAAGAATAAACATGATATACAAACAGTAGCATCAATTCAGAAAAAAACACACACCATCAAACAGCTTCGGTTAAATAATAGGAAATTAAAGAAGGCTAAAATCAAATTAATTGAGCACATCCAGTATAATGATTGTAAATCTTTGGAATGAAAGAAAAAAACAAATTAACGGACAGAGCAGTGACCATATCATTACTGTAAACCAAAGCGAAAGATTGGGTCCGTCACCGCCGCCCCAGAGTCCGTATGGGAAAATCAGCTCGTTCGCTCACGGAAACTGACGGAAGTCGCGTCAGGTGCGCTTTATTCTCACACGCTTCTCCCATCCCGTCTTTATTTCACTTGCATAGCGAGTCTGTGGTTTCCCTGGAAGGGGAGGAGCTTAAAGTCCAGGCTCCGCCCTCTTCAAAATGAAACTCACAACGCAACCTCTCTCTGTCTCTCTCGGCCGTTAGACGTTTTCTTCACCTTGTGGATGCCTTCCAGCGCTCCTGATTCTGTTACACTGTGTGCGGAGAGCAGAAGAAACATCACACACTGAACTTCTGACACACACACAGAGAGAGAGAGAGAGAGAGAGAGAGAGACCTACACTTCATCCATCTCCAGATCCTCCTCGTCCTGAGGCAGCTGGAGATACGGGTTATTAGACGCAGGACGGAACTTGAATCCCGTCAAGACGAAGAAGATCAGAGTAGAAACCTCCACTAAAAACTGCAAAATAAATTAATTTACACAGATTATTTATAAAAAAATTTTTTTACTTCATTGGAATGGTGCGAAACTTGGTTAAAGTTTTGGCACTTGCTGTGTGAACACACAAAAATCACGGACATGACTCAAACAGATTAAATGATCCTGTATTAAATATTCACACTTGAGCTGCTCGCGGTCAGAAACGAGCACAGTGGAAGTGAATGAGAGTTTCCTCTAGTGGAAGCGTTCGGTACTGCAGCCGAACACACTCTCACTGAACGCTCCTTTATAGAGATCAAGCTCACATTTTTAGCAACTTTTTTAGAATTATGGCTTTGATTTTATATTTGAAAATGTATATTTCACATAAAAATTTAAAATAGTATTTTTGCGTAAATTTCAGCAACTTTTCACTTCAGCAATAATCTATGCTCTATGCTCAAAAAATGGATAAATGGATTATAAATAAAGTGTAAATATAATTTAGTACCATAAAATCCCCATGGTCATGTTTGACCGTCACACACAGCACAAAGCGAAAATTGTTGCCGCAGTAAAAATACAATGGAGGCTTGTTTCCGCCACGGGATTAAAAACACGGAGTATTCCCGAGTATTACCTCCTGACACCACTGCCACTGGAACGGCACCGTGACCTTCAGCAGGATCGCGATGATGCGAGTGAAGTAGATATAACACACAATCTGAGGACAGACACAAAACGCCGTCACTGATCTGAATAAAGCTCCAGTAGATGCGAGTGGAAGAAACGGCTCACCATCACATAATAATGTCTGAAGAGCTTCAACTTCTCCAGGTTCATGGCAGCTGCAAGACAACAAACACACACAAGCATTGTGTATTTACAAACAAACATTCATACACAAACAAGAACAATGAGAACTTAAAAACCAATACCGTTTATAACAATAATTAACTGTACTGATGATTATACTCATATCTGTGCCAATAACTATAATGATACTTAATAACTATACCGATAACAATACTGATTATTATACTGGTAACTATAACGATAACTGTACTGATAAAACACACACACACACACCTTTGCCATCTGTGTTGGAAGCCTCCTGCAGATGCCGGATGGACCTGTTGGACACACAACGATAAAACCCGTCAGATAACACAGAACAGGAGCAGATCACGAGCCTCACACACACACACACACACACCAGACGACGGGGAACAGGACGGCTCCGCAGCAGATCAGATCCACCAGGAACAGGATCTCCCTCCACAGGGCGTATTCGCTCGCCCCCTCCTCCGTCTCCTCGATGATGATGTATGACACGTTAGCCAGAACCTGCAGCACAACATCAACATCAGTGTCTGACAACAGATCGGAAACACACACTCGCTCTCACACTAGTAGTCCAGTCATTTTAAGCCAAAATGGGGGTCAACCTTGAACAAATTTCAACACAGGGCTCCAGACTAACTTTTTTTACTAGGAGCGCTGTTGCCCCTGACTGAAAATTTTAGGAGCGCAAGCTGAAAATTTAGGGGCACACCTTAAATCAGCTTGCAATGCAATTATTCAAATTTCCCCCAAAATAACTGTAATACTGACAAATTCTTTAATAATAAATAGACTTAACATTATGATATGCTGTTTTGTTTTAAGTTCACAGGGTTTCAGACTCAAAGTTGAGGGCAGCATCACCTCAAATGAGAACTCACAGCGAGTTCTACAAAAAAAAATAATCTGGTAGCACTGGTGCTGACAATAAATCACTAAGCTTAATTTAGGGTGTAGATGAAATTAACTTTAGTTATTATCATTTATAATTTCTTAATATTAATTAATAAAAGTAGTGAAAATATGTATATGGAGTGAAAATAGCCAATAAACATCCTACTGTTTACAATGGTATTATTTTTTTTTTTAAGTGTTTAAATAAGAGTTTTCCAACATCTCAAAATTTTTCTTTTTAGGACAATCTTTAAAGGATGAACAAAAAATGTGTTGGTAATCACATAAAAAATACAAAAAAATAAAACATTTATATATGATATTATTGAAGTGCTGGGAAAAGATGTGTAGGCTACTTGTAACCATTTGATTTTCTTACACATTATCATATTTATGGTTAGAGTTAACTTACTACATTAGCCTAAATCCATGGTTCTGTTAGGCTGAATTGTGGACTGAAAGCCTTCTATAAGTGTTTCTCCTGGTTTCCACGTCAGCGCTGTTTGATCTGATATGGTTTATAACAGAACTCTGCGCCGAATCGGAGTGTTTCTCACTGGATCTCGTGGTGTTGATGTTATTAATTCTGAGGCGAATTCAATGGATTTCTTCACTGGATCTCCTATTAACAGTCTTGCGTGAGCGAGATCGGCCCGCGACTGGCAAGTTCGGGGCTTTATTTTACCGTCAATGGTTCGGATCGCTGCTGCTGCTCCACGGTCCTATGAGTGGCGTATTTTCGTTTCACTTTCATTTTGTTTGCATTCGTTGCTAGGTAACGACTAACGAGTCGATAGATCGCTGATTGCTCAGACGCACATCAGGTTGTGATATTTGTCTCCGTCTCCTTCCCACAGACGTTTACGCGCGCTATTCGTGTCAAGGATTCATTGACGCGCCCCTTCCACGCTTTACCATGCGTTTAACGTGCGGCAAATTTACTGGTCGCGCATGTGCGACTGGATGTAAAATTCAGTCGCACACTCTCAAATTTTGGTCGCAAAATGCGACCATTTGGTCGCAGTCTGGAGCCCTGCAACAGAAGCAAACTCAACTGATTTTGTATCCTCAATATGTCCTGAGTAAGGAAAAAAAAAAGCCTTGAAGAATCCCATTAGGGGAACGTTTCGAAAAAGACCCAAATATATCCCATTCATACGCATATTCATTCTTTTTCTCACGTGAATAGGGTAACATTTTTAACCTTTAGATATCATCATGAAAATCACTGAGTTGATTACTTACATCAAGACAAACAAAAAATGTATTACAAGTTTTTTTTGCAATTGTTTGTTAACATAATCTAATCACATATGAGCTAATTTGCATAATTACCCAAACAGATCTAAACATTGGGAATAGCAGGTGAAAATATTATTTTTTTTAATCTTGTTGACATATAACAGTAAAAGACTTAATGTAAAGGTCTGAAAGGAACACATTGAGGCTACCCATGAACATTAATACAGGAAGAAGTGCTTTAGAAACCAGCCTTTATTAATTATTATGGCAGAGATGGGGTTTGGGGTTGGGTCAGTGTTTAGACTGTTACTGGGGGAAGAACAGGAGACATGGGTAAGGAGAATGAAAGGTAGGTGAAATAAAAAGTGTCTGGATCAAAAAATCGAATTACGTACACAATGCCCTCAATGCCCAAACCCCATCTCTGCCATAATCATTAATAAAGGCTGGTTTCAAAGTACTTTTTTCTGTATTAATGTTCATGGGTAGCCTCAATGTGTTCCTTTCAGACCTTAACATTAAGCCTTTTACTGTTATATGTCAACAAGATTTAAAAAAAAAACATGTTCACCTGCTATACCCAATGTTTAGATCTGTTTGGGTAATTATGCAAATTAGCTAATACATAATTATATTATGCACATATATATTGTTAAACAATTTCGAAAAACTTGTAATACATTTTTTGTTTGTCTTGATGTAAGTAATCAACTCAGTGATTTTCATGATGATATCTAAAGGTTAAAAATGTTACCCTATTCACGTGAGAAAAAGAATGAATATGCGTATGAATGGGATATATTTGGGTCTTTTTCGAAACGTTCCCCTAATGGGATTCTTCAAGGCTTTTTTTTTCCTTACTCGGGACATATTGAGGATACAAAATCAGTTGAGTTTGCTTCTGTTGCAATTTGTTCAACCTTTTCTCATAAAATGACTGGACTATAGCTCAAACTCTCACCTGCAGAGGAATGACGATCATGAAGATCTTCTTCTCTTTGTCTGAAAGGATGTATTTGACGAAGGCGAAGCCAGTGCCGATGAGAGCCAGAGTGATGAACAGAAGAGCGCCCTTCAGCCTGACACACACACACCACATGACATGACATTCAACATGCGTTATGAGAACAGAAGGGAAGTGTGTGTGTGTGAGATACGCACAGGTGAGTGATGTAGTACATGACGGCCCAGCCTTCGATAGGATGACCCTCAGAGTTGATGAAGTGATAGTTGATCTGGAGGAAGACAAACGTTATTTATATCGCTGTTGTATCATTTATAAATCACAGTAATAACCAAGTTGAAGTACCAAAATAACAAAAAAAGACTAAATTAAGAGTTGCAAATAAGAGTGTTTACTCACACTGTGGAACAGCAGAGACACGGCTTTAGTGTAGGCCAGAGCTGCCATCAGCCAGTGGATCTTAAACACGCTGTACCTGTCACACACACACACACACACATCATAAACACCACAGCGTTTACTCACAGTGACAGATGCAGTGCGGTGAATGTGTGTGTGTACCTGTACTTGAGCAGTGTGTATGTCCACACCACCGCGGCGGTGAAGAAGATCGCTGCCATGCAGATGTAGAGACGCGGCAGAGGAATATCAGACGCCGACAGATAACCTCTGGGGTTCTTCTCTGTGATCTCCACCTGACACACACACACACACGCGTTTGGTTAGCTATACATGTGAAGACCCCCATCAAACACACACACACACACACACACTCACGTGTAGAGAATAAGGACTCGGCTTCCTCTGCCTCATGTTGTTGCAGTTCTGGAAGTCCAGGTTGTAAAGGCCTTGAGATTGCGAGCTCATGATGAGACGAAACTGAGACAGAGAGAAAGCATAGTGTCATCAGTGTGTGTGTGAGAGAGTGAGTGTGTGAGTGTGTTGTAAGACGTTTCTCACGCTGAAGTTGTAGGAATCTCCGTGTTGTTCCAGTTCCAGCGTCTTCCCGTTCAAACTCTCCACCTGATTCACACACACACAACAGTTTAAACAAGGTTTTAGAAATCAAATGTTTTGAGAAGTGCACAAATAAAATGAATCTGAGCAGAGCGATGTCAGTATAGCGGGGTACGGACCGGTTTGCTAGCGGTGCTCACAGGAGCTTTGGACTGATCCGGGGACGTTTCCTTCTGTTTCCCGGCTTCATCTTCACTCTTCTCTTCCTTGTGCTCCCCGACCGACTCTCCTCTCCTCCTCCTCACTGAGACACAGACGTCAACACCGTCACACACACACACACTCTCTTTCCCTCTCTCTCAAGCACACACACACACACACACACGTGTTTTACCTTTTCCTCCTCCAGTCTTCAGTCTGGACTCCAGCACAAAGTCAGAGTGTCCGAAGTGTTTCACAGCCACACTGAACACAAACACAATCATCATCAATACCACAAACACACAATCATAATCACAAACAATATCAAAATCACAAACTCAATCAGAAGTTTTGTTCATGAAGTTCAGCGATTAGTAAGATTTCTCTCAACTTTTGTAACTATATTTATAATGTAATATATATAATGTATTAAATAATTTATAATTTTTTTATTTTCTATTATTAAGTTCAGTGTTATTCTACATTTGATTACAGTTTCTGCACCTGGAAATCTTGAAACACTGTTTATTTCAATCGTATATTTCTTCGGTTTTATCTATTTGTCGCGAGTGCCAATCTTTTATTTGTTCTTTTTTTAATCACTGAGTGTTTACATGTCTTTAATAATGCTGGAAGTGTGTATAAGTTGTTTGTGGTGTTTTAAACTTCAGGCAAACGCTCCAGTGTAAGTGTTCTTCGGTCGGTTCATGATATTCACATACAATTACATGTTTAACAATAAGACTAAATGTGAATGAAATCATTTTAAAATTTAAACAATAGCCAACCCAACCCAACTCAGAATGCGACTTGTGTTTTTTAACGGTATCTGTGCGTGTGTGTGTGTGTGTGTGTGTGAAACAGATGAAGTACCTGTGATTCTCTGTGTCGATGATGAAGAGGATGAGCTCATCTTCACTCTTTTCTCTCTGCAACATGCACTCCTCCACTTCCTCAGCCTGAAGATCGACACACACACCGTCAGAAACACGAGGACGACCCACATACACAGACAGAGAGAGAGAGAGGGGTGTGTGTGTGTGTGTGTATGAGATACTCACAGTGTAGGTCAGGATCCCGGTCACTCGAGACCGAGCCAAACTAAAGCCCACCTGAAACACACACACTTCATGATGAGTGGCGACCACAGTAACGAAGCACACGTCACACGAGCATAACCGCGTGAACTATTGTTAGGGATTATTACCTTAGCTAACGAACTCGATACCCAGCCCTAAAAAGCTCTTAATTCCACATATACTACAAACTGGTTAGTGTATTCTTCACTAGGGACTGTACCAATGCAACAATAATAAAACAATGCATTGACTAGACCTGGGCAAAAGAGAAAAGAAAAATCAATTTTGATTTTTCCCCATATTTATTTCTCCATCACCCAAAAGCCAGTGTTAGTTCTCCTCCACTGGTCACAGGCCTGAGTTACAGCTCATGTTGTGTTCTGTGTTAATGTACCTAAAATAAAAAGAGTCTAATATACAGGTTTGTGGCTCGTAGTAAAGAACACACACTCACCGGAGCCTTGTTGCCGCCGTTCATCTTGGGGAGGTTCAGAGACACCAGGTGCACGTCCAGAGTCCCGTTGGCGAAATACCCGAACGTGTTCAGGTGGACCACAAACCGCGTCTCATTCTGAGGGAGAGATCATTGTATGAATAACATATTACATAAGATGTTGACATATCAGATATGTGAAAAAGCTTAAATAAAAGAGATAAATGATTATAAACAAGCTAAACAAATAAAGCAAATCATTAAATAGATTAAATAAATGTATAATTTTATATAATAACATAAGAATAAACATCAGATATTTGAAACAAATGCTCAAGCAAAAGAGATGAATGATAAAAAAGCTAAATTAGTTTAGTTTAGTTTTAGTTTAGGTAAATCATTAAATAAGTCAAATGGATTAATAAATTCGTGGTTTTATGATAAATACATCATTACATAATATATATGAAACAAAAGATAAAATAAAAGAGATAAATAATAAAAAACAAAGCAAAATACATGAGGAAAATCGTTTAATAGGTCAATACTTTAATAATACATCGTTCGACCCGATGAAACCCCAGATATGTGTCAGAAACGCTCGAAGGAGGTGAATAAATTAGATTAGTGAGATAATTATGCATAAACAAGTGTGAGAGACCTTGAGTTTGAGCTGGTGGATCCTCGCGCCGCTCTCCGACACCGTCAGGGCTAACATCACGAGCACGCACGCGCCACCGCCGCGATACATCATCACACACTGCCTGTCAATCACTGCGCTGTCAAATATCAATCTGTCCGTCAAAAGATTGACATTTACGGTTTGTTTCCAAACTCTTTCCAGCTACAGCTTCACTTCCGGGACGCGTGAGAGCATACACGTCACCACCGACCGCGGCCGCGCGCATTCCTGCACTCTGGCGCCCTTTCTGGCGGGAGGACGCGCTCATCACAGGTTGACCGTTGCTATTATTATAGTGAATTTACATCGAAAATATTGGTGTTTAACGCATGCTTTGCGTTATACTACACAAATAGCACAAATGCTTGTGTGTTGTAAAGTTATGGTCACATATAGTTTCTCATGGAAATTTCGCGGGCGAAATCCAGTAATTTCGAGAAGAATCCGCGCGATTTCGAGGTCGCAAATTTTTCATTGGTCAAAAAAAGTCGGTCACGCAAAATAGCCGTGTTCAACAACAACTGAATCTGATATGTGAGTTGTGCTTCATACTGACTATATATATATATAGCATGTGTTTATGAGAGATACTTTATTAAACATATTAAAGTAATAACACAGCAATGTGTAATTAACAAACCAATCCCAAACTCCCCGTTTGTGTTGTGCCTTGTGTTGATCAGTCACTCTTTATATCTTACTCTCCTCCTTTGTGTTACAGAAGAAATGTATATGGCAAAACACTTGATTCTATAGACACATAGCGTGCGTTAATGAGCTAGCGCGCCACCTGTTTCTTTTATTATTTATTAAATTGTTTTTTGGCTTTATTTTGACAGGATAGTGAAGCAGCAGGAAAGTACAGCATCAACGCACCTCTGACAGAACGGCAATTTAATCGAGTTCAATGATCATGAAACTTTGTTGAGTCACTCGCACCTTCAACTGACCTTTTATCAGTAAGAGCATCTGTCCTTTCAGTCACTCTTGCATTTCACAATGTTGAAATACTTACTAGTGATAAGCTACATGGTTAGCAGAATACTTGTAAATTGAGTTCTTCTGTAAATATAACAATGATAAATATCTGTGCCACATACCAAAATAAATGCCTAAAAATCCAGCAATCCGACTTTACATCTATTACATATTTTCATGGAGATTTCTGAGACCATGTGACAGTAAACCCAGACAGGAACGTCTCCTGCTGGATAGGTGGTGTAAATCCCAGACTGTTTCTCCTGAGTTGTAGACGTCAGACTCAGAACAGTCGACCGGCTCGAATCCATCAGGAACAGACACAACAGAGGCCGTGAAAACAGAGATCAGAGCCGCGACAAACACCGTCATCTGGAGAGACACGACTGATCAAGATCCTCACTTATAATCAGTTCACTCTGAAATTACAATAAAAGTAAAAACAGTCGCTGTAAATGTGAATGAACTTACCGCCATCGTCTCAGAGTCTTCACTGCAGATTATAATCAAGGTTTTATTTTTAAATCTGGAAGAAATCAAACCCAAAAAAAATCATCATATTGTTGTTTGTGGTCATTGTTCTGAATTCCACTGTTGTAGAAATGTCAAAGGTAAAAGATGGAGAATGAGACAGTAACTCACCGTGTGTGTTGTGCCTTGTGTTGATCAGTCATCTTTATATCTGTTATATTTTTATGCTCCTCCTTTGTGTTACAAAAGAAAATTGCTTTTTGTTTTTATTTAGAAAGGATTTCTATAAATCGATGAATCACTTGCATCATCAACTGACTCAATCAGTAAGAGCATATGTCATGTCAGTCACTCTTACACTGCACAATGGTGAAATACGAAATGTGGATAAGTTACATGGTTAGCAGGCTTGAAATGCAAAGTCATACAGTCAGTTTCCAAAAACTATGCAAAAATGTCCATCCTTAAAGGGGGTGAAATGCTATTTAATAGTGAGTTTTTTACACTGTTGAAGAGTTGGATTCCCTTGCTAAACATGGGCAAAGTTTTAAAAATTAAGTTGTACTTTTGATTGAGTATTTCTGTTCTCAAAATGCTCCTTCCTGGTTGTCACAAGTTTCGGAAAGTTGTTTTCGAGTATGGGCGCGTATGACGTCAGATGCGCCGCGGCCGGAATTTCCTTATACGGTCCTGAGGGCACTTCTCTCGGAAGGGCGCGCGCGCAGCTGTAGAGCAATACGGCTATGCCCATCTGTGCATTGGCTGTGCTGCAATATGTCACCAAAGAAGTGTGTTTTCGGTTGCCAAGGCAAGAAAACCCTGCACAGATTCCCAAAGATCAAGCGTTAAGGGACCAGTGGATGGAGGTTGTTTTTCCAGAACATCAACACAGTTGTGCAAGTGTTCTTGTTTGTTCCATTTCAAGGGTGATTTTTTTATAAACACGGCCCAGTTTGATGCCGGATTTGCTAATCGTTTAGTTCTCAAGCATGGAGCAGTCCCAACACTAAAGGTTAACGGTCTTACGTTGAAACCGCAGGCGGTGAGTAGAACTGCGTCCAATGTCTGTGTGTCTATTGGCGTGTTAAGCACAGCAGGTACTTTAGATGTTGTTTGGCTGTAGTACATGAGTAATAACAGCCAGATGAACAAATAGAAAAGGTGATCTAATGGTGTTGTTTATGTTTTAACATTATCATTATTTCACAATCATTTGACCTGAATCACTGAACTCACGTCGAGTCCAGCCTAGGTTTACCTTGTACAGTATAACATTTTTATGATTTTACAAGGTAATCCATAGAATTTTATTAACGTGACTCAAATACAATAAAAAAGTGAATCTCAACAATGGTGACAATAATAGTGCATGTTGTAGTGCATTCTAGGTGCCACCAATCAAAACTCATTCATGGCTCCCATCATGCATTGGTGGATGAATAAATAATGAGCTTATGATCAGAGGTGATCTGTTTGTCACCATTGTTGTGATTCATACGATAATTCTTAATGTCTGTGTGTGCCTCCATGAAATAATTTCTGAAATTATCTTATTAATGTTTTGATCATTTGGAAATGCTAAAAATATGATGCTGTCCAAGGCCAATGATGCTATAATTACTGAAGTAAACCTTCAGAAACTGGGCTCTATGTGAATTCAGTGTTTCAGGTCAAATGATTGTGAAATATTGATTATGTTAAAACACAACCAACACCATCAGATCACCTTTTCTATTTGTTCATTTGGCTATTATAATTCACGTAGAACAGCCAAACAACATCTAAAGTTAACAATTTAAGGGTCAAGAGCCCAACTAAAACACACACTGATCTCTATAATGGTGACTTAAAAAAATTCTTCTTCAGTGATTCTGCTTGTTATCATCAGGTGTCTTCAATGATGGCAATAAAAGAAAATAGTTCTCAATTCATCTTTGACGCCAGTCTGTTATTCCGATATTTTTGTTTAGAAATGTGTACATTTTACTCATTTTAAATGGTTCCTTTTTAAGTAATTTGTTTGGTTAATTCTCTCTCAATTCTAATTCAATTTTATTGATTAGATTAACATATTCAGTCTTATTCATTTTTACAGTGCATCTTCCTCTCCTGTGTCTTTTCTTACCATAACACACACATTATGTAATCACATTACTTTTTGGATTTTAATACAAATTATATTCTAATTACACAAAATCATGTATTTACATTAAAAAAGTTAAGTATTTTCAAGAACAACAGTCACAGTAATGAATTGTAGCTGAAATACAGCTAGTGATGCATAAGGCCAACTATAATGATCATATGACTGCCTTAATCATTTTTATACTAGATTTGATAGACTGAATTGTGACACTCCCTCAAAACTTTGTCTTAATACTGAGGACTGTGCGCTTCAGGTCACACAAGAACAGGTTCGGAAGGTTTTTGATAAGCTTAATCCCCGTAAGTCAATTGGACCTGATGGGGTATCGCCAAAAGTTTTGAAGGTCTGTGCCGAACAACTGGCAGGTGTGTACACAGATATCTTCAATATGTCTCTTACACAGGGAGTGGTACCACACCTATTTAAGTCGTCGACTATTATACCAGTCCCCAAGAAGGTAGACACATCTACCCTGAATGATTTCAGGCCAGTCGCATTGACTTCAGTCCCCATGAAGTGTCTAGAGAAACTTGTACTAAGACACATTAACTCTGTGGTTCCGGACAATATTGACCCTTCACAGTTCGCTTATTGCCCTAACAGGTCAGTGGACGATGCAGTGGCCATGGCTCTGCATCTCTCTCTTCAACATCTGGATCGGAGTGGAACCTATGTAAGAATGCTTTTCTTGGATTATAGTTCTGCTTTTAACACGATCCGACCTGGAAAGCTAATCAAGAAGCTGGTCCACCTTGGGGTCCCAACCACCACCTGTAATTGGGTTTTGGATTTTCTTACGAACAGACAACAAAGAGTTAGGATGGGAAGTAATATCTCAACTGAGCTCACTTTAAGCACAGGAACACCACAGGGCTGTTGTCTTAGCCCAAAGCTCTTTACTCTATACACACATGATTGCGGTACTGACCGGAACAACACTGCTATAATTAAATATGCTGATGACACAACTGTCGTGGGCCTGATTAAAGGTGGGGATGAGACTGGTTACAGGGAGCTGATTGATAATATTCTGGCATATGGGAGGACAATGATCTCATTCTGAATATAGATAAAACAAAAGAATTGATCATGGACTTTAGGAAGAAATCTATCCTACAGCCATTGATAATCAAGGGGACTGAGGTGGAAAGAGTTGAGAGTCATAAGTTCCTAGGCCTGCGAGTGTCTTCAAATTTGAGTTGGACCATAAACACTGCTGTCACAGTGAAGAAGGCCCAACAGAGGCTTTATTTTATCAGGCTGCTAAGGAAGGCAGGACTCAGCCGTAACCCACTTATCCAGGCCTATAGAGGACTTGTGGAAAGCATCCTAACAAATGGTATCATTGTCTGGTTTGGAAGCACCACCCAAGCAGAAAGGAGAGCTCTCCAGAGGGTAATAACGACAGCGGAGAAGATCATTGGATCGGACCTTCCTTCTATGGACACTTTATTCACACAACGCTGCAGGAAGAGAGCTAAGAACATTCTAAAGGACACACACCACCCTGCACACTCTATGTTTAAACCTAAACACTCAATATACAACTTGAGATATAATAGACCGGACAGTATTATTTCACACAGGGTGCGGTTCTATAACAGCTTCTTTCCAGCTACTGTGAGACTGATGGCGAAGGACATGGCAGAAGGAACGAATGTGTCTGCCTCATTTTTGTAAAATGACAGGTGTTATTTATTATAGTAAGAGTATAGATAAGGGTAAGAGTATATTTATTATAGATAAGACTTATTATAGTAAGTTTGTTTTTAAATATTTATATTATGTAGTATCTTGGGACAGTGCAATATTCTTTTTGTTTAGCGTGGAGCAATCTTAAATGTAATTTTAAAATAACAATTGTAGGGGTGGGGGGTTACTTAACATGGGATTAAGATGCTCGTCGTTGACGTTGAACGTATTTTTTAAGTCTTGATCTCTTAAAGTCCATTGTGTGTGCTGTGTAGTTTGTTAGCTGTTTTTAATGTTTATCTTTTATGTTTGATTCAACGAGCTCTGCTACAAAAATTCCTATGCACCTGTATAGCTGTACCGGTACAAATGGCAAATAAAGCTTAACTAACTAAAGCTTAACTAACTAAAAAATAATGGACAGATGATTAATCAGAATTTTATCCCAATCTAAAAATACTTGGAAATGTAACTGTAAACTCATTCTTTTACAGTTGTTTTACACATGTAAACTCAAGCTTCCATACTTCGGAGCTCCGTCTAATACACTATTTATATTGTTTATGTGATCAGTTCTCAAAAATCTTCATTGCAATCTTTACATTGTTTTTGGGTTAAGCACTGGACAGAAAGCAGTTTGTAAAACTTTCATTTTGATTTATCTTGAAATATGGACAGAAATGACACACATACAGGAGGTGTCACGCTGAACCACACGGGAGGCAGATAATCCATGAGCAGTAGTTCAATTAGTATAAGGGCAATCCAAACTCGTAGTCAATCATGCCGGGTCAATCCAAAAGAAGCCGTCAAAACAAATAAACAAAGCAGGAACTAGGAACAAACACAGACACAAAATAAGGAATCCGTACTGAAACAGACAGGGTATTTATATACACAATCTAACAAGGTAATGAGAAACAGCTGATGAGTGACAGACAGAATGCTGGGAATTGAAGTCAACTGTTAAGGACACTGTGCGAACGAGGACCTCTAGTGACAAACAAGGGAAACACAACCAGACACTGTGACAGGAGGCCTACCTTGTGAAAAAAATTTCTCTTCACATTTTTTCTTGCAACCGTACGCTAAAATGCTTTCAATGACTTTATTTCTAACATTAATCAGCACTCCATAGTATTTAAAGACAAAGAAAAAAAGACAAATGTATTAAAACGAAAACAACTGAAATATCCCCCTGATTTCAGCCAGAATACCACAGTATTTAGACTCTATGACCTTTGATCTTTACCTCAGGTGCTTCATATTTCTCCAGCTCATCTTTGAGATGTTTCTACACATTGATTCGGAGTAGATCTGTGGGAATATCCCGAAGTGTGTTCAGCAACAGAATCAAATGCCTTGGATAGATCTACAAATAAAGCAGCGCAATGCTGTTTTCTCTCTAAGGCACAAATAAGATCATTTATTGCCTCCATAGCAGCAGTAATGGTACTGTGGCTAGATCTAACACCAAATTGAAAATTGTTTAAAATATTATTATCAAATGAGAACTGTTTTACCTGTAAATTTAGCTGATTCAAGGGTCTTTGCCAGTATTGAGAGTTTGGAGATTTGATAACTATTTAGCTCTGAGGGGTCTCCACCTTCAACACGCGTCTTCAGTTGGGCTTCTCCAGGTGTCAAGCATCCGGATGATGAGGACCCCGCCTCACAAGGTAAACCTTTATGAGTGATTGACAGATAATACAGCCAATCAGTGACGGCCTGCGGAAGTGAAAGTAAGAGACCAAAAAGAGAAACATAAACCCTCGAGAAAACACTACACTGTAAAAAATATTTTCAAGATTTGTTATCACAACATATTTTCTTTTGTCAAATCAACTTTAGAATAATTTATTTAGTTGAGATAACTTATAATTTTGAGTTTCTGATGGTTAAATTAATCTCCTTCATTGTATTAACTCACTTTTTCCAGTTCAATCAACTTAAAATTTTAAGGCAACCAGGTTACTTACTTTTTTAAGTTAAACAACAATATTTTTTACAGTGTTGGCCTTAGTTCACTCTCCTAGGCATAGGCTTGGATCAGCTGATGGGTCAGCTGTCAAACCACTAACATTCTCCTGTTTGACGGGGACGTGGCATTGCTGATGGGTCGGAAGTCAGACTGCTCGCTACCCTTTCCCAGAGGTTAATGCTTAATTATGCCTTTAATTATGGAGCAAGAACCCTCACACACATTTCTGCAGTTTTATTATCAAATAATCCCCGTCTCAACCTCCTCATGACAGAACATTAAACGGTAACATGTCTCGGCTTTTCTTGTCTTGCTCTAAAAGACATTTTCTCTTTCCATGCAGTTACACGCAAGCAAGGTATGCTGGGAACTGAAAATACAGAAGGTAAAATCTTCTGTGTGGGAAAAATGGGAGAGAAAAGTCTGAAGAACAATGTGTTTGACTCTTGAGTCATAGCAGTCAGCTGATCTTCCAGAACGACAAACATCAATCTATGTTGAATCAACAAGATACAATCTTTTGTTTAATTAAAGGACATGCTGCAGGAAGAAACCAGCATTTGTATTTCCCCCTCGTTAATCATTTGTTTTTTTAGGGAAAATATATGGTCCACGTATGCAGTATGACTTATCATAAAAAAAAGGAATTATTTTTACATTTTGCAAAAACAAATTCAAGTTATAGCAGCAAGCAGACATAACGGGGCCTGAGCAACGCTTACACCAATCGCATATGTAGCGCTATGGTGGTTTAAAATGGAAATAGCAGAATTACTGACAATGTAAGAAAAAATTGCTTGTAACTTGTAAATGTAATTTCTATATGGTAAACTGTTAAGTACAGATATATGTTACAGATCCTTTTCTAATTTTCTGCCCCAAACCATATTTTGTTAAATACATAAATTTCAAAACACACTAAAACCTTTTTATACATATACTAATTATAAAAACCCGACTCAAAATTACATCCTTCTTTCAAAACATTAGCACTAGTTTTCTATCCAACAGTAGTCAATCATTGCACAACCCACATAGCAACATTGTTTCGGCCCAGACCCGGCCCACATCTGGCACTTGTGGGATGCGGTTCTAGCCCACATGCAGCGTGGAATGACGGCCCTTGGGTGGCCCACTCCTGTTTGCCAGATCTGGGCCACAAGCAGAAGTCTGACAATCACCTTTTCTCGTTGTTCATTTGGATGTGTTATCTATTTTTGTGTATTTTTATGACCTGTGTCTTGTCTCAGTCTGTCCTTCTGTCAGTGTAAGACAAATTCCTCATATGTGTAAAACATACTTGACAATGAAGCTCATTTTGATTCTGATAAGACTGCAATATGATCTCATTTGAATATGTTCACAGGGGATTGTGTGTTTAGTATTGAATATCAAAAACCAGATCATAGATAAATATAGAGCTTTGTTGTAAGATAAAACTCAATCAATATTTTATGTCCTGAAGAAAATGACATTGGAACATTTGATGTAATGGATCTGTCATAGTGTGTGGCTGTTCTTTTGTAAATTTGGCTGAATTACATGTAACATGACTTCCAGTTGTTGGCTCCATGAGGAAGGATTCTTGGAAACCAAACATTGCAACACCCTCTCCAGATCCTGGTTGGCTCTCTCGGTTTGGCTATTGCTCTGGGGATGAAACCCTGAGGACAGACTAACCGTCGCTCCCGGTAATTTACAAAACTCTCGCCAAAATTTGGACATAAACTGGGGTCCCCTGTTGGAGACCACCTCCATCGGGAGGTCATGTAAGCGAAAGACGTGGTCAGTGTGTGAATTTGTGAATATACATAAAAATATATCAATCAATCAAAATTGCTTATGGAGTGCTTTTAATACAAGAACGTTAATGTTAAATTTTTATATCAGATAGAGCCGGCCAGAGCGCTGCATAATAAGTAGCCCACGCTGTTCCCTTGGATGGTGGGGGCAAAAGCCGGCTTATCCAGTATGGATATACACATACACAATGACATGGCCCTACTACATGCTAGAATCTCAGAAAAACAAGCTGATTTCAACCTCAAAATGTACGCTTATAAACATGCCAATATTGCCATCTCAAACATGGAGAGGCTTCTACGTGATCTCAACTAACAGATTCTGCAAAAAAATGAAAAAACGCTTCTTTCTCATTTTGCTAGAAAGTTGTGCTGCCGACTTGTGTCACTGGTTTCTGTGACATACACTCACCGGCCACTTTATTAGGTACCCCATGCTAGTAACGGGTTGGACCCCCTTTTGCCTTCAGAACTGCCTCAATTCTTCGTGGCATAGATTCAACAAGGTACTGGAAGCATTCCTCAGGGAGTTTGGTCCATATTGACATGATGGCATCACACAGTTGCCGCAGATTTGTCGGCTGCACATCCATGATGCGAATCTCCCGTTCCACCACATCCCAAAGATGCTCTATTGGATTGAGATCTGGTGACTGTGGAGGCCATTTGAGTACAGCGAACTCATTGTCATGTTCAAGAAACCAGTCTGAGATGATTCCAGCTTTATGACATGGCGCATTATCCTGCTGAAAGTAGCCATCAGAAGTTGGGTACATTGTGGTCATAAAGGGATGGACATGGTCAGCAACAATACTCAGGTAGGCTGTGGCGTTGCAACGATGCTCAATTGGTACCAAGGGGCCCAAAGAGTGCCAAGAAAATATTCCCCACACCATGACACCACCACCACCAGCCTGAACCGTTGATACAAGGCAGGATGGATCCATGCTTTCATGTTGTAGACGCCAAATTCTGACCCTACCATCCGAATGTCGCAGCAGAAATCGAGACTCATCAGACCAGCCAACGTTTTTCCAATCTTCTATTGTCCAATTTCGATGAGCTTGTGCAAATTGTAGCCTCAGTTTCCTGTTCTTAGCTGAAAGGAGTGGCACCCGGTGTGATCTTCTGCTGCTGTAGCCCATCTGCCTCAAAGTCCGACGTACTGTGCGTTCAGAGATGCTCTTCTGCCCACCTTGGTTGTAACGGGTGGTTATTTGAGTCACTGTTGCCCTTCTATCAGCTCGAACCAGTCTGGCCATTCTCCTCTGACCTCTGGCATCAACAAGGCATTTCCGCCCACAGAACTGCCGCTCACTGGATGTTTTTTCTTTTTCTGACCATTCTCTGTAAACCCTAGAGATGGTTGTGCGTGAAAATCCCAGTAGATTAGCAGTTTCTGAAATACTCAGACCAGCCCTTCTGGCACCAACAATCATGCCACGTTCAAAGTCACTCAAACCACCTTTCTTCCCCATACTGATGCTCGGTTTGAACTGCAGGAGATTGTCTTGACCATGTCTACATGCCTAAATGCACTGAGTTGCCGCCATGTGATTGGCTGCTTAGAAATTAAGTGTTAACGAGCAGTTGGACAGGTGTACCTAATAAAGTGGCCGGTGAGTGTATGTTACAGATCCTTTTCTAATTTTCTCCCCAAAACCAAATACATTTCAAAACGCTAAAAATCTTTTTAGACATATACAAACTCTATAAAAACACCAACAGAATTTAATCATTCTGTCAAAATATTAAAACTAGTTTTCTATCCAACAATATAGTCAATCATACACAATGACAGCAAAAACAACATGACATCATGACTTTGCGTAAACATATACGCCAATTTCGAGTCAAGTGGCGTGTTATCTCGACGCATTTTGAGCTATCCACGTGTATGCGTGTATGTCTACGCCATTAACGTCCGCGTCATTCCGCGTGTCTGTACACTCCGTCAAATGTCCGACCAAAACAAAGCAAAATGTAGATCTACATCTGGGGAGCGATCTTTTTTTTTCCTAGGATGGTAAGGGAACAGTCATAAATGCCATTAACCCCAGTGATGGTTAAGTTTAGGGACGGGGTTGAGGTAAGTCATATATTTATGTAACGTTAAGTCAACAGCGTTCATAAACACGCTGAAAAGCGATTATGCGTCTTGATAGCACGCCAAAAATGGAAATACGAATTGACACGTCATACACACGCTACTTCATGAGATCAGTCTGGCAAAAATACTAACAGTTGATGCAGGCTGATCTCATGAAGTAGTGTGTGTATGACGTGTCAATTCGTATTTCCATTTTTGGCGTGCTATCAAGACGCATAATCGCTTTTCAGCGTGTTTATGAACGCTGTTGACTTAACGTTACATAAATATATGACTTACCTCAACCCCGTCCCTAAACTTAACCATCACTGGGGTTAATGGCATTTATGACTGTTCCCTTACCATCCTAGGAAAAAAAAAGATCGCTCCCCAGATGTAGATCTACATTTTGCTTTGTTTTGGTCGGACATTTGACGGAGTGTACAGACACGCGGAATGACGCGGACGTTAATGGCGTAGACATACATCCATACACGCGGAGAGCTCAAAATGCGTCGAGATAACACGCCACTTGACTCGAAATTGGTGTGTATGTTTACGAAAAAGTCATGATAGCAGGAAAGTTGTTTGGTCTGATGAGATTTATAAGTGTACCGAGTTGCATATTAATTCATGCAAGCGTGTTTGATACATGGATCAAGTTTTCAAACCCTGTTCAAGGGGGCGCTGTCGAGCCCCCCTGCAACGCCCGGGTACCAGCTTCAGCCCGGCCCTGATGGCCACGGGTTCTGACCTTTGTGCAAAGTTTCAAGAGTTATTTCAAGTGCCCGAATAGTTGTAAGAAAAATAATAATAGAAAAAAAAGAATTCTAAGGAAAACAATAGGGTCTTCGCCTTTTCGAAGCTTGGGCCCTAATAATAATATGGAGCCAAGCACCGAAGGCACTGCAAGCACAGCAAACTACACAGGGAACATTTGTGAAATAAGGCACATTATGAGAGAGACATCCAAATGATATTTAATCATGATGGAATTAATCCAAACTCAAACTAAGGTATACACTAAATGACCCAGATTCAGTATATTTACTGAATAGATCAAATGCAATTTTGTCTCACTAAATGTACAGTTCGCATCAAGGATGACAGATGCCTTTTTTATTTGCATTCAAAAAGGATATGTTCGTAAAGTAAATTTCTTCTGTAACGCAGAGGAGGAGTCTGAGAATCTGACAGATATATAAAGGGTGTGTGTCAGACTGAACAACACAAACGGTGAGTTACTGTTTAATTCTTCATTTACCTCATTTAAATAAAATTGTCTGTGATTTTTGTCTAGATAAAGCAGATCTACTGTGATCTACTGAGGAGAAACTGAGAAGATGGCTGTAAGTTCATCAACAACTCTTCATTTCTAGAGAGGGTTTTCAGTGTGATGTTCATCTCTTTCTCTCTGTCTCGTGTAGCTGATGGTGTTTTTGGCAGTTCTTCTCTCTGTTGTTCTGGTGAGCGGCTGCAGTCAGGATGGAGACATGCCGGCCGACTGTTCTGACCTTTATAAAGCAGGACAAAAGCTCAGTGGGATTTACACCATCTATCCAGCAGGAGACGTTTCTGTCTGGGTTTACTGTCACATGGTCTCAGATGGGAAAGCCGAAGACAACGGAGGATGGACGGTACGAATGTGACTTTAGATCAGCAAACACACATCAGAACACACATTATGAATGATATATTCTTTATAAACCCATCACAGGTGTTTCAGAGGAGAATGGACGGCAGTGTGAATTTCTATCGGCCGTGGAGTCAGTACAAGAGAGGATTCGGGGCAACCGAGGGCGAATACTGGCTGGGTAAGATCTCACAGTGTGTGTCCGTTTGTGTGGATCATCATGTGTTTGGTTGAACGTGTGTGTGTGTGTGAACAGGGCTGGAGAACATGTACCAGCTGACGCGTAACAGAAAGTACATGCTGAGAGTGGATCTGGAGGACTTTGAAGGAAGGAAGGGTTTTGCTCTGTACTCGTCCTTCTCTGTGGATTGTGAAACTGACGGGTATAAACTGCACGTTTCAGGATTCACTGACGGAGGAGCAGGTAGGACACTTTTTACACACACAGTTGAGTAAATGTGCACCTGATGTCTTCAATGATGCTCTTCTTCTCTACAGGCGACTCTTTATCTGGCCATAATGGACAGAAGTTCTCCACCTTTGACAAAGACCAAGACACGTCAGATGTTGCTAACTGTGCCAAACAGTATCTCGGGGCATTTTGGTACACAGACTGTCACTCTACAAACCCCAACGGTGTGTATTTATGGGGGGAAGATCCCACGATTTACGCCATTGGAAATGTTTGGTCAACCTGGAAGAATTACGCTGTCGGAATGAAATCCATCAGCATGAAGATCAGACGTGTGTATTAGACATTACAGAGTTTCCCAGAAACAAACAACAAAACAATCAAATTATGGTTTTGGATTTCCTTTCCTCTGTTAATTGTGAAACTTGTTAAATCATGTTATGTATGGTAACTTGGGATACACAGTATGACTGTTGTTGTGTGTACTCTCGTCAATTATTATTTGTATTTTTTTGGGTGACTTTTTTAAATCTACAACTGAAACAAATCAACAATAAACTTCAATAAACTCTAGCAATGAAAAGTATTATGTGTTGGTGTGGATTTCTCTTCACAATATACCTCAGAAACAGTAAACGAGAAATTCAGCTGTTCATAAACTGATATACTTTTCCTATAAATACAATCCTAAAAAAAGAATGTGTAAGTTTTTCTTAACACAGATATCCCTGTTTATTTGTCAGCAAAAGTCTGTTTTAGATCCAGTGGAATTTTGCAGACACATTCTCACTCAGTGCGCGAGTGGACTTAGGCTTATTAAATTAGCCTATACCCAGCTAACTAAAATTTGTTCCAAGTACATTTGGAAGTTACAAGTTATAAACATTTTTTTAATGTTCTCCATCAAATCAAAGCGTCCAGTTTTTAAAAGTTTCTTGATCATGCAAGCGTTAAGGAAATGCAGTACGTAGCAGAGTCATCCGACGCCAGGCCGAACACCCGTAAGTACGCCCAGTGGTTGACCCCTATGCTGGGGTCAATACCGGCAGAGCCCACTCCGCCAAGGGAAAGACACGGGTTTGTCGACAGGGAAGCCTAACATGGAAGGATACACACATGGGATTATCTAGATGGCCATATGTTGTGTTCCCTACGTTGATCCCATATTTGTATTCTTTCATTGTACGGCTCCTCTATTGGCGAGCACGTGTCTTTCTCTTGGCAGATTCAAGCCGCTCTGCCGGTACTGATCTCGCTTTAACTCTTCGGTTCAGTTCAGACGTGAAGTCTCCGTTCCCCCCTTAAGGGAACTATTACATACATTATCAAGACGTTCTCCAATCATGTGAGAGTTTCAAATCTGTTTTTAGAGACTTAAAGAGTTACAGTATTTTTTTACCTGGATACACACCATGCAGACTGATCTCATGAAGTAGTGCGTGTATGACACGGCAATTCGTATTTCCATTTTTGGCGTGCTATCAAGACGCATAATCGCCTTTCAGCGTGTTTATGAACGCCGTTGACTTAACGGTATATAAATATATGACTTACCTTAACCCCATCCCTAAACTTAACCGTCACTGGGGTTAATGGCATTTATGACTGGAGATTTGACTGCGTGTTCAGACACGCGGAATCACGCGGACGTTAATGGCGTAGACATACACGCGGATAGCTCAAAATGCGTAGAGATAACACGCCACCTGACTCGAAAGTGGCGTATATGTTTACGCAAAAGTCATGATGTCATGTTGCACCATGACTGAATCAATATGCTTCGATCGTGCATGATAAGTAGTGTTGAAAGATGGACATATTTCTATTTTGAGAAGTGTCAGGTCAGAATCTATCTCCGAGTCTGCATTCACTAGGACACTATTGAAGCTTTACAGAGTGAAGACTCGTGTACATAGTAAGTTAAAGAAAGGTTTTAATGCAAACACACTTTTCAAAGAGATATTAACACATGATTAAATGTTGTAAAATGCCCAATGTTCCCCTTCAGAAGCACTCTGACGTCTCTAAGACACACGTTTGATCTTCATGCTGATGGATTTCATACTGACAGCGTAATTCTTCCAGGTTGACCAAACAACACCAATGGCGTGATGGGAGTCGTCTTCTCCCCATAAGTACACACCGTTGGGGTTTGAGTTATGACAGGCTGCGTACCAAAATCCCCCGAGAAACTCTTTGGCACAGTTCTTCGCATAGGTATCTTGATCTTTGTCAAAGGTGGAGAACTTCTGATCATTATGGCCAGATAAAGAGTCGCCTGTAGAGAAGAAGAGCATCATTGAGGACAGTTACTCAACTGGAACGTCACAAATTAATATTCATGAGGATGAATGAAAGTGTCCAACCAGCTCCTCCGTCAGTGAATCCTGAAACATGCAGCTGATATCCCACACATTCACAATCCACAGAGAAGGACGAGTACAGAGCAAAACCCTTCCTTCCTTCAAAGTCCTCCATATCCACTCTCAGCATGTACTTTCTGTTACGCGTCAGCTGGTACATGTTCTCCAGCCCTGTTCACACACACACACGTTCAACCAAACACATGATGATCCACACAAACGGACACACACTGTGAGATCTTACCCAGCCAGTATTCGCCCTCGGTTGCCCCGAATCCTCTCTTGTACTGACGCCACGGCCGATAGAAATTCACACTGCCGTCCATTCTCCTCTGAATCACCTGGGATGGGTTTATATACAATATATGATTCATAATGTGTGTTCTGATGTGTGTTTGCTGATCTAAAGTCTCATTCGTACCGTCCATCCTCCGTTGTCTTCATCTTTCCCATCTGAGGTCATGTGACAGTAAACCCAGACAGGAACGTCTCCTGCTGGATAGATGGTGTAAATCCCACTGACTGTTTCTCCTGAGTTATAGACGTCAGAACAGTCGAATGGCATGAATTTACAATCACTGCCCAATACAACAGGGAGAAGAACCGCCCAAAACACCTTCATCTACACGAGACAGAAAGAAAGAGATGAACATCAAACTGAAATCAAGGTGGAACTGTCTCTAAAATGTGATTGACACAAGAAAACCAATGAACTTACCGCCGTCTACTCAATCTCTCCTCAGCAGTTTCACAGCAAAGATGAATTTATCTAAAAATGTGTTAAAAATTGTAAGAACTTTTGTCTATGTTAAATGTCGGAGAATTAAACAGTTACTCACCGTTTGGGTTCTTCAGTCTTTGAGGCACAAACAGTCCTTAAATATCTGATTTCTGAGCTCCTCCTCTGAGTCAAAGTCCGCTTGTGGCAATCTTGGAAAAATCCTCTGGCAGCTGTTTCACGTTTAGGAAACATCCGAAATGTCACGACACGGCGATTCCCTGACCATATGTGAAGTACTCGTCGGATTTCAAAGATGTGTATGATCATTAATTTTACTGCTATAAAAATAAGACCACTGAAAAACTCAAATGACAACAAACATGAGATATCAAATCACTTTAATTCACACAGAACATAGATGTGTGTTTAGAGCGACAGATCGACATGTGCTTAGAAGCAGTTTTGTGTTTGTATGAAGCGGACTTAATGAATAAGCAAGCTGACATTCAGAACAATCTACGTGTTTTATGTAGAATACATACAAATATCATTTACGTCTGAGTTTGTCGAGAGATTGAAATCACCATTTTTGAAGAGTGCGCATGTGCGAATGAGCTCGTGTATGTATGAACGAGCCTGATTGAATCTGAAACTGAAGAAATAGTCTGTAATTTATAGCAAAAGATCTAGCATTAACTCAACCTCTAACAGGAGTTAATTACTCCACCATGAGCGCGACATCATAAATCAACATGCTTGTTGAAAGACCACTTTGCAGCAATATGGTTTTGGGTGGGGCTTTCAAACGATTAATCGCATGCAAAATAAAAGATTGTGTTTACATAATATATGTGGGTGCACTGTGTATAATTATTTTAAATATATAAATACACACACATGCTTGTATATTTAAGAAATGTTTTCATGTATATACAAAAATAGTATTTTTTTTAAATAAATTTTTTTTTCTTAAATATACATGCATGTTTGTGTATTTTTATATATACAAAATAATTATACAAAGTGCACCCACATATATTATGTAAACGCAAACTGTTATTTTGGACGCGATTAATCGCAATTAATCGTTTGTCAGCCCTAGTTTTGGGAAATAGTAGTGGATTTCTTCAACGATGCATTGTGCTAATGTGGTGAAGCAGCGATTCTTTAAAAAGACCATTTTAATAAAATAATATAAACTTCTGAATGTCCAGAGAAGCTTTGGAGAGCAAACCAGTAACTTACCGTCTGTGTTTCCCGGTTGGAGACGATTCGCTCTCCTTCAAATATCTCCTCCTCAGTGTCAAAATACATTTGAAGCAATGTTAGAAAAAACATTTCTTCCAACATCGTATCCAAAATGGTGAAAGCATGGAAATTCCCAGTTCCTGTTAATGATTTATAAACCATCGGTATGCACAAATACATCCAGTAAATCGTGCAGTTCACCAACAGAACATGAAGAACGTTCCTCAATAACTAATTTACCAGCTTTCCACAAATACTCAAAGCACACAAACAAAAGATCACAGATTAACTGAGTTAGGCCCAAACAGGCCTGTGACCTGAAGAGGTCAAACACACATGAGTCAGTTTTATTGGAAGGGGATTTACTAGGTGAAAGACCACAGAAACACTCCAACATGACATTTCAGATCAAGTTCATTCGAATGTTGAATATAATCACAGGCGATGAGGACCTTTCATTCCTACACACTTCCATTTTTATTTTCATAATCACTGATTTGGACACTTACCTTGGTTGCTCTTCTACAGGGAAGCACGTTGGAGTATTTTGCAGTGTTCGGAAAATATTTTGCATGTTTTGAACCTATAATTGTACAGGCTGCTTTATAATCTCAGACGGGCGAAGAATCGGTAAAAAAAAACCCAAACAACATGCTACCGGCTTTTATCGCATCCCATTATATAAAGTACAAGGCGATTGGATGAAGCCCAAAGTCTTGAGAATATCTGATTTTCAAGCTCCTCTGTTTGTGGAAAAAAGAGAAGAACCGCCAAGATGGAGAGAGAGAGATCACACTGACATCAAGGTGGAACCGTCTCTAATAATGTGATTGACACAATGAATGAAACCAATGAACTTACTGTCGTCTTTTCAATCTCTCCTCAGCAGTTCGGTTTATCTAAACATAATTAAAAGAAGGATTTACTAAGACAACTTCATATAAAATTAATTCTGGATGTATAATGTAAATGCTGAAGAATAACTCACCGTGTGTGTTCTTCAGTCACTAAAACACTCGAGGCTCCTCCGCGGTCATCCAAAACATGAACATTTCAATTCTTGGTTGTTTTTTTACCCTCCTTTTTAAAATATTTTATGCTAATACGTAATATTTAAGCGGTATTTATAATCCATTTATTCACTTTTTAAGCATAGACCTGAACATTTCCAAATTCCAACTGTCGTAAATCTTGAATGCTTTAAAGCACAGACTTAAAAACACTTGGCAGATTATTGCTGAAGTGAAAAAAGTTTTTAAAAAGTTAACTTAAAATTTAGAATTGTAGGTGTTATGAAAAACACAATTTTTTTTAAATTTTAATACAAAATATATATTTTCAATATATATTACAAGAAAACCAAAACCATAAATCTAAACGAGCCGTGTCCCAAATTTGGGTTCGATTTCTCAACAACAAAACACGTTTCAGTGAGAGTGTGTTCGGCTGCAGTACCAAACGCTTCCACTAGAGCAAACAAGTCTCACTCATTTCCAATGAGAGCACAAGTGTCCATGTTTTTTGTGTTCACATAGCAAGTGCTAAACTACGGAGTCGGAGGCGTATTTACGGAGGCATAAGTTAATTATCTCAGAATTACGAGTTAATTTTTAATAAGAAAAAAAGTTTATCTGAATGTCAGTATTCTGTTTTCTGAATTAACGAGTTAATTTTTCATGAGAAAAAAAGTTTTTGCTGTTTTTCTGAATTAAAGAGTTAATTTTTCATGAGAAAAAAAAGTTTTGCTCTGTTTTGCTGAATTAACGAGTTAATTTTTAATTAGAAAAAAAATTTTGCTCTGTTTTTCTGAATTAACGACTTAATTTTTCATGGAATTTTTTTTGCTGTTTTTTTAAATTAATGAGTTAATTTTTCATGATAAAAAAAGTTTTTGCTCTGTTTTTCTGAATTAACGAGTTTTAACGAGAAATTAACTCACTAATTCAGAAAAACAGAGCAAAAACTTTTTTCTCATGAAAAATTAACTCGTAATTCTGAGATAATTAACTTGTTAATTCAGAAAAACAGAGTAGATTTTTTTTCTTCAAGTGAATGCAATACGCCTCCCTCCGTACTAAACCCTTTACCAAGTTTTGTGAAGTAAAAAAAAATTCAGTCAAAAATGACTGATGAGCACCAGAGGGTTTAATAAAACATCCGTACATATTGACACATGGTGCTATACGACAACATAATCTTGAAATCACAAGCATATTATTAAACGCATGGATTCCAGCTAAAGAACACTAATGATCTTTTCTCAAGAACTTCTGCACACACTCAGATCAAAAAAATCCCAAATACTACTACTAATAATAAAACAGTGGATTTGACCTTAAAAGGCCCTGTGACCTCAAGGGTCACTCCCTACACTCACGCTGATATCATATAGAAAGACAACTTCGCAAACACGAGGATCTGCAGGAATAACACTCACATCACAACAAACATGAGCCATGTTATATTGCATAATAGAGTGATTCCCAGCAGGCTCCAGGCCAATACATGCCCTACTGCAGGAGGATTTAAAACAACAACATGCTCACAAACAGCAGTTTATAGCATTTTACAGACCATGATATTTTCTGAAACATCTTGAGATTTCAAGTTAGTATTTAATACTTTAATGGCTAATATTCAATGGTGCAGTGTGTAATATTTAGGAGGAAACATAACTGCGTTCAGTGGTGTATAAAGACTTTACTAAATGAACCGTTGTTAATAATTTTAGAATGTCCACCTACATCCACGTTTCTACGGTGGCCCTGAGCGGACACACACACGTTTCGTCACGATGTTGTTCTTCATGATCAGAATCTCAAAGTTGAGTAAACCTAATCTCTTAATTTACCTTTGTAAAGAAACTCATTGTTTAACTGGCGACTCTCTGCTGTCTCAGACGACGACATCACTTCCTGTCAGCCAGTGTAACTTCTGTTGAGTGCAGTTCACAACCTCACCACTAGATGCTGCTAAACGTACACACTGCACCTTTAATAATTACTGACACGCAGGTAAAACAAATAAAACAGTTCATCTTTTAATAAGCATTTTGATTGTTTTGGAAACTCCTCTTTATGAAAAGATCATTCCTCATGCTTTGAAATGAAACAGGAGCATTTTCTTTAGTGACATGGTCAATTTTATTGGTCATAGTTTGGACATCCGATCATCTGCTGTCCGAGGCGAGAGCTAGCCGAGCTTCGGGACAGCAGATCATGCGAGCGGTTAGCCGATGCGGGAACGCCGGGATTCGAGACGCATCTGTAACATGTAAGATCACGGAAACACCGGATGGATTTAACGTGCAGCTTTGACAGAGCCAAGCGAGGTTTTTCAGGAAAACAGATTAAGATAAGGAATCCTGGGATAGATGTGTGTGTGTGTGTGTGTGTGTGTGTGTGTTATCTGCGGGTGAATGAGCGAAGGCATGCCGGTTATCCGGTTCTCAGGATGATGTGAACTCCGGAGTCGGTGAACACGGGGCCGCTCATGTCTCCGACCTTCAGTGCGAACGACACGTCCTCAAAGGGCTTCTGCATTTGACCTGACACACACACACACACACACACACACACACACACATATAAGACAGGACACAATGGATAAATGTCACGCTGAAAACTGTATTAATATTCGATAGGGATGCACCAATATGAACATTTTGCCCGCTGCTGATAATTCTTTATATTCGATAACCGATATATTGGCTGATAAATCTAAATACAAACTTCTATATACTTTTTGAGAGCCTGATCATTAAAATCCACGTCCCAAACACACAATCATAATGTTCTCATTGGAATGTCATGTAGCCAATATTACACGTGTTACACTTTACTGTATTTTCCTTTTATTTATGAAGTGATTTCAGTCGTATTTCAAGCTATTCAGCCATCATGTTGAACAGTCGCATCTGAAGAGTTTCAGCTGGAGGAAATAATTCATTATTGATATATAGCTTTAATATATCGGACACACTTTATTATCAGGCCGATAACGAGAACATTAAAAGGTTTCCCTTTATTCTGATGGTTCGTTTAACACATTCAGTTGACTATAAGTAACGTTGCACCTACATCTCATTATAGTATAGTGTTCAGTATTAGTGGAGTGTTAGTAGATTATGTGTAGAGTTAGAGTAGTAGAGTATTAGTAGTGTAAAGTATTAGTAGATTATGTGTAGAGTTAGCGTATTAGTAGAGAATTTGTAGTGTAGAGTATTAGTAGATTATGTGTAGAGTTAAAGGAACACTCCGACTTTTTGGGACTTTAGCCTATTCACCTTACCCCCCAGAGTTAGATAAGTCCATACATACCTTTTTCATCTCCGTGCGTGCTATAAGTCTGTTTGACGCACCCACCGCTAGCCTAGCTTAGCACAAAGACTGGATGTGAATGGTTGCAGCTTTCATACTAATCCAAATGAGTAGCAAAATAACGCAAACGTTTTCCTATTTACATGTTGTGATTTGTATAGTCACAGAGTGTGCAAATATCAAGGCCATATGAGACACAGACATCTTTTGACCGTATAAATACTATATTTTCTGAAGGGGAAGCACTGATACTTGGGCAGAGTGATAACAATCACCTAAAACGCACCGTGACGAGGAGCAGAGAGTTCGCTTCGCTCAGCGTTGGAATAAAGAGTCAGCAATTACTAACGTTAGATAGAAAAGCATAGTTTATCATGGGTGTTTGCTTTATTGTATGAGCTGTGACAATAAACAGGGGAGACCAGGTAATACAGTACTATGTTTCATTGATTTCCAACCAAAAACGCACCCAGATTTATAAATATCACATGAATAAATAATTATTATTACAGGAATCAATATATTTTAAATGCAATTTGAACCAAATGTATTCAACAGTAGCCTATATAATATACAGTATTGCATTACTATAGGATAGAATAAGGGGAAAGTAATAGCACAAATTGTTTTTGCACAATGAATATCGTACCCTTTTGCACGCTCAAGTTCGTTATTTCCATGGTTATTTCAAATTTAGGCTATTAGGTGCGCCGCGCGCAGGGTGCAAGTTCAACGCGGTGAACGCGCTCGTTTTTTCCCCAAGCGCGTCCGCACCGCATCAAGATAAAAACATATTCATACCCTAATCATATAATAGTGTCACTAACGTTACATTAGATCTGGCTGATAATGGCACTGTTACAGTAGGTCATCTAAAAACATAACGGAACACTTACCTCAGCCGCAGGTGATCCACTTGTCCTGTCTGTGCTATCGATGGGATGGCCGTATCCTTCAGCACATTATGGTCCGTGAGGCAAATTCCATTTTTCAAAATAGTCGTCCTCATTGAAATGTACCGAGCAAACATAATGTCCCTTGATAATCTTAGGTGTGTTTGGATAAATATCCAGAGTAAGTTAGCCATTTCTTCATCCAGTCACCGTTTTTAGTTGGAATTCTGTGAAACATGGTATTACCTCCCCTGTTTACAGTCGCAGCTATTTACAATAGAGCGAAAACCCATGACTCTAAACTACGCTTTTACTATTTATAAATTGCTGACTCTATTACCCAAACACCGAGCGAACTCTCCGCTCCTCACCACGGCGTGTCTCCGGTGATGCGGTTATTACGCCGTCAAAGTAGCAGTGCTTCGCCTTCAGAGAATAGTTCCCAGGTTTTATACGGTTAAAAGATGTCTGTGTCTCATTTGAATTTGTTATTTGTACATTATGTGACTATACAAATCACAACATGTAAATAGAAAAACGTTTGCGTTATTTTGCCACTCATTTGGATTAGTATGAAAGCTGCAACCAGTCACATCGAGTCTTTGTGCTAAGCTAGGCTAGCGGTGGGTGCGTCAAACAGACTTATAGCACGCACGGAGATGAAAAAGGTATGTATGGACTTATCTAACTCTGGGGGGTAAGGTGAATAGGCTAAAGTCCCAAAAAGTCGGAGTGTTCCTTTAACGTATTAGAGTATTAGTAATATAGAGTATTAGTAGAGTATTAGTAGTGTTAGTAGATTATGTGTAGAGTTAGAGTATTAGTAGAGTATTAGTAGTGTAGAGTATTAGTAGATCATGTGTAGAGTTAGAGTATTAGTAGAGTATTAGTAGTGAAGAGTATTAGTAGTGTAGAGTATTAGTAGATTATGTGTAGAGTTAGACTATTAGTAGAGAATTAGTAGTGTAGAGTAGAGTATTAGTAGAGTATTAGTAATATAGAGTATTAGTAGTGTTAGTAGATTATGTGTAGAGTTACAGTATTAGTAGAGTATTAGTAGTGTAGAGTATTAGTAGAGTATTAGAAGTGTAGAGTATTAGTAGTGTAGAGTATTAGAAGTGTAGAGTATTAGTAGAGTATTAGTAGTGTAGAGTATTAGTAGTGTAGAGTATTAGAAGTGTAGAGTATTAGTAGATTATGTGTAGAGTTAGAGTATTAGTAGTGTAGAGTATTAGTAGAGTATTAGAAGTGTAGAGTATTTGTAGAGTATTAGTAGATTATGTGTAGAGTTAGAGTATTAGTAGAGTATTAGAAGTGTAGAGTATTTGTAGAGTATTATTAGTTGTTGTGGAAAATTTTAATATTGACTTATATGAATATAAATGTATAATATAATATGAAAATATTGTTTAACACATTCAGTTGACTATTAGTAGCGTTGCACCTACATCTCATTATAGTATTAATAGTGTAGAGTATTAATAGTGTAGAGTATTAGTAGTGTAGAGTATTAGTAGTGTAGAGTATTAGTAAAGTATGAGTAGAGTTAGAGTAGAGTTAGAGTATGAGTAGAGTATTAGAAGTGTAGAGTATGAATAGAGTTAGAGTATTAGTAAAGTATGAGTAGAGTTAGAGTATTAGTAGAGTATGAGTAGAGTAGTTAGAGTATGAGTAGAGTAGAGTTAGAGTATTAGTAAAGTATGAGTAGAGTTAGAGTATTCGTAGACTGTTCGGGTTGGCGTTAGAATAAGTTGACATGTAGTTGCAAAGTTACTTAGTCAACAGGAAGTTCAAAAGGGACCATTAAAATAAAGTGTTCTCCGTTAAAAACGAGTGTGTGGCGATAGTGATATGGCGGCTGATATATTGAGCATCCCGAATCTCCTCGCTGAGCCTCACCCCTGCCGAATACGCCCAGGTCTCCTCCGTTCCTCGCTGAGCTGCAGTCGCTGAACTGAGACGCCAGACTCTCAAACTCCTCCTCTCCAGATTTGATCTGTTCAATGTACTCTACACACACACACACACACACGAGAGAGAGAAAACATGACAGCGTTTGTTGTATTTTGACTGAGCTTCGAGTCGTTTATGATAAGCAACTTCCATTTTTATCAGTAATTTCTCATGCCAGAAGTGGCGATTTTGTTCACTTGAACACTTGCGATGGAAACAGTGCTTTATTTGCAAATGTTTCAAGCGATATTTTAATTTTTCCTCACAAGTTATGTTCATACGCACACACACACACACACTCTGGGACGTCAGAGACTTACTTTACCCCTTTAAACCCCCCAGCTGCCACTGCTAGCGTGCTAGTGTGCTAGCGTATCTTACTGTGGATGAGCTGCAGCGCCTCGTCTTTGCCGCGCGTGATGTTCTCCTCTCTCCAGGAGGAGGGCCGGCGCGACTGGTTGTGTTTGACCAGCAGGTGTGAGCACCGGACCTTCTCCAGCTCGCCGGCGCCGTCCGCCCCTGACCCGCTGGGGCGCTCCCACTGACTCGCGTTCGTGATGTGGTTGAAGTAATACACCCGACCTGCGCCACACACAGACAACATTACATTTACATTTATGTTTTATCCAAAGCGACTGAGGGTCTGTTGACACGACACCGTTTTCAACCTTAAAATGTAAAACTGCGTTTTAGCCACTTGTTTCCACGACAACAGCGTTTTGGGCGCCTGACAACACAATGTTTTGAAAACGGTCTCCGTGTAAACAACACAAACACGAATCTCGGCAGACGATGACGTCAGGCACACGTGCGTTACGTGTTCAGTCTACCGTGTTTCGTCGCCATCTACTGGCCTGGCTGCAGAATACAACGCTTTTAATCGTTTTCGCGGATCCGTGTGAATGGGAATTGTCTATACGCGGAAACTCAAAGCTTCTCCGTTTGAAGCATATCTATGTCGTGTAAATTTGTGCTTACATTGCATTTCAACTTACAGTACCTTTACATTGTTATCAGTTCTTGCTTTCCCAGGGATTGAACCCATGACCTTGGCGTTGCAAGCGCCAACGCTCTACTGTTTTATTCTTGTGATTAAGCTTAGTAAGAAAAGTTAAATTTCACATCGTATTAGAGTGATTTCTGAAGGACCATGTTCTGAAGGACACTAAAGACTGCAGTAATGATACTAAAAATTCAGTTTTGATCACAGGAATAAATTATATTTTAACATATAGCCACTTAGAAAACAGCTAATCTACATTATTACAATAATTTACTGTTTTACTGGATTTTTTTTATCAAAGAAATGCCGCTTTGGTGAGCAGAAGAGACTCTTCTTTATTTATACAGCCATATTACAGCAGTGTTTCAGAGCAGCTTTACGGAGATAACAGGAGAGAGTTTGTTTCCAGAAGAGAACAGCGTCACAGTCCCGCTTAAGTCAGTTCACCGATGCTTCATTTCTGTTGTAAAAAAGTTATTATTTAGTTCATTTATATGTTGCAGCTCTGCAGAAAACATAAATTTTTTTTTTTATTCCAAACTTTTTATTCATAGTGTGTGTATATATAAATAAAATTATTTATATATTAAATTAATCTTATGCATCTGAATGAGTGCTGTAATATTACTGTATTGTTGCAATGCTCATTGTTTTCTACCCTTTTTCTGGACTAATTTGTATAGTGGAAGCTTTAAGATCAACCACAAAAAAGACAAATCAGTCATTTATGTCCATATTTCTTATTATTTGGAAAGTGAAATAATGATTTAACAGACAGAATTAACCCTTTCATTGAGATAATCGAGATGACAGGCTTAGTGGACATTATTCCGCGTACGATTGATTTTATTCAATATTGAATAAAGCAAATTTACACACAAATTATCTATTGGCAAAGCTAACGCCATTACCCTTCAGATGGCTAAATATCAGTCTGGCCCAGGTTTAGTTCAAATATTAAATGTTTAGAAATCCAAATGTTTTTATATTTGGATATTCAGTGTGTGATGCTTCAACTCATCAGCTTTTAAACACTGAACATCTCCGAATCACTCGCTCGTGTTTAAATCAGAATTCAGTCAGGGTTGGTTGGGTTTGGTTTGGTTTAGCATCGGCTCTCGTGCTCGGTTGTTTTTGGCGGTTCGGTGTCGATTAGCATTAGCATACGCACTGCTCTCACGCGCCCAAGCACTGATTCGGTTCCGGGTTTACATGAGAACACGGGCCGCCACGACTGACCTGAACTCCGGCTCATGCGCTTCTCCCACCCGGACGGCAGCTTCTCATCGTCGGACATGATTTGACAATGGTGTCGGTTCGGTTCGGCTTGAGTCTGGTCTGATGTAGCGCCGCTGCAGTGACCGGGACTGGCCGACAGGGGGCGACAGAGAGATAACACTGGGAAACAACCGCGCTCAGTAGCACCTCAATGCAGTACATGAGATCCACGGGGCGGAGTCGCATCAAGATCTTTGTCCAATGGGTGGAGATGTGTAGGATTAGGGTTGGGTTTAGGGATCAGGGGGCGGAGTTGTGTAGGTTTAGGTGTATGTAAGGTGGGAGGAGTTGGACCTGGATCCGACTCCTCCCCGTGGATTTCATATTCTGCAGCTCACACCACCAGTTTCAAATGAGTTTCAAATCATTCAAAAACAATAAAAATTCTGAAACTATGTTTCTCTCTGTCAACTATCTTAATATATTTTTCTTTGTGTAAGTCTCAATGGAATGTACTTGGTTGATTGCTCCTGTTATGTCATAAAATAAAATAAAAAATAAAAAAGCTTGTTTCTTTTTTCATGAATGCAAGAAAACACAATAACAATAAGGCAATGCAAAATCACATAAAATCCCTAACGAACAGAGCACCACTCTGTAAGAATGAAGCAAATTAATAACAAGAAAGCAAGACAGACAACGATGACATAAAAAGTCAAAATTATGACATGGAAGATTCAAAATTATGAAATGAAAAGAAAACAAATAACTGGTACCTGATGACCAATAACGTTAAATTCGAAATTGACTTACAAGGTCGAAATTTGACTTAGACGTAATTATGTTAACTTATAAGAAGTCGAAATCATGACATACAAGTGTCTTGCTGGTAGGATTAGGTGGTGTATTTTGTGTTATCGTGAGTTTCTAGTGTTTTATTTTGCTATTATTCGAATTATGGATTGGATATTTCCATAGACAAGCTATTTCTCAAACGAAAAAAAAGGCATTCACGACACCACCACGACACCACATTGATCAGCGGCGATTTCCATGGTGACCTCATCCTTCCAAGCCCCTCTTGGACTGTGGTTGGTGAAACCGGCTGTCAGTCAAGCGCGCGTGCCTCTGATTGGCCAGTCGTGAGCGGATGTTTTCACGGCGTTGGTTTACGGCAAACGCTCGTCAGTGCGAGAAAAACGCGTCTGATTTTCTGCGGGAACAAACGACAGTGAAATCAGGTAGAAATCGACAGATTTCATCCGTTTCGGTTTTTATTTACACGCGTATCCAATGTTACTGTTTATGAATACATCATAGGATGTAATGCGTTATTGTGTAGATGCTGCTGGATGAGCTAAATCAACACTGATAGCTTAAGTAACGTTACATCTCAGAGACGTCTATTTAATGTCTGCATTACATCTGCAAGAAGAGCGTTACTCATCTGCCACACTGTTAAGTTAATGTTAATGATATACAGGGCAACATTTGAGCAATCTTGCCGTTACTTGGGCTCTTTCACATTAAAATGGGCAGGTCGTGGACCTGTGTTTGTAAAACTGCCTTTTCTAAGATGTTTATCAGATATTTTCCACACACACACACACCTGTGCTCTCTGAGAGAACACACAATGAGATCAACATAATAACAATTAAGTGACCACCACTGATACTAAATCAGTATTAGTTATATTGCAGTAGTAATGATGATATGATTATATAAAGAGATGACATTTTCTTACTAAATATATATATAGAGTACATCATGATAACGGTAATGACGGCAGTGAATGTGATGATGTAATGTGATTATGATGATGTAATATGATGATGATGTGATGTCTGTTTCAGAGATGATCGAGGTGGTGTGTAACGACCGTTTGGGGAAGAAGGTTCGAGTCAAATGCAAGTATCCTTTGAAACGCTGTGTGAAAGTCCCAGTGTGTGTGTGTGTTATGCTCTTAACCGTGTGTGTCAGTCAGGAGGACACGATCGGGGACCTGAAGAAGCTGATCGCGGCTCAGACCGGCACACGCTGGGACAAGATCGTGCTCAAGAAATGGTGAGAACATCGAGTGTAAGTCGTGGAGAAATAAAGCAGTCAGACGTGATTATAATGATGTGTGTGTGTGTGTGTGTGCAGGTACACCATATTCAAGGACCATGTGTCTCTGGGAGACTGTATCCTTCACACACTTCGCTGGGTTTGGTCATTTCCACTGTTGAATGTATATCACACCAGTCGCGCTTTAGCTCATGCGCTCACACACACAGTCTTTATTCACGTTAGTAAGATTAATGAAAGCTGTAGAAATCATGAACTAATGAAGTTACTACAAATGAAACCATAGTGTATCATATGTGAATCTGTTATTGATCTTTAGTGTGTGTATGAAACATTATCTGTGCATAATATGTCAAATAATTCATTTCTTTGACCGATCATCAGATGAAATCCACGACGGCATGAACCTGGAGCTGTATTACCAGTAGAACACACACACACACACACACACATCATGTCTCGACCTGTTCAGTTGAATTGTTTTGATATTATTTGGAAATAAACTCATATTTATGTATGATCACGTCTCAGTGTTTGTGTTTTCCAACATGTTTAATGAGCTCATTATTACACACACTGAAATATCATGAAGCACACGAGTCGCTCGTCTGGACAACACGACTGTCCCTGGATGACGTCACAGGTGAACGCGTCGATCATTCAGCCGGTCTGGAGGGGAACGGTCAGTGTGACGTGACGGAGCTGTTGATTGGCCAGCAGGGATCTGGAGGTTTTGATTGGTCAGCAGTAATCTGAATGCTCCTCCTCCACGTAATTAGCAGGAAACAAGCCCACCTGTAGAGGAACGCTAGCGTTACTCAACCACCGACATTTATTCTGAGAACAGGTGTGTGAATGTGTGTGTCGTACTCTGCCGTACACCTCTCCTCGCCACCAGCCGTTGTGAGCTTTCTTGGAGATGATTTTGACGGTGTCTCCTTCCCGCAGAGAGAGTTCAGTGCGGTCCCGCGCCGAGAAATCGTAGCGCACTTTGGCGGTGCCGTGGTAGCGCTCGCTCGGCCCTGTGGACACACACACACACACACACACATGATTCAGTGTTAGCGGCTCGTACCTGTGCTGTGTGTGTGTGTGTGTGTGTGTGTGTGAAGGCTGTGGTCGTACCTGTGCTGTGTGTGTTGCTTTGCACCGGTGCTGCGCTCTGCTCCGGCTGCTTGTACGGCGTCTGAAGTCTGGAGTCCACATCTTTAAAACACTCTCTCAGGGAGTTCTCCTGATAGTACTGCACCAGCTCCTGACACACACACACACACACACACATCAACACAAACGATCAACTCAACATTACAAAACCTGTGTGACCCGCTACACAGAGAACCATAACTATAGACCATTTCACAAGATGTAAACAACACTGGTCCAGAAGCACTTCCTGTTTCAGTTCGTAACTGTTTTCTTTATTTCAGATGTAAAGAAAACATCTTAAAGATGTTTGTTTAACTTGATTCAGTTTTAAATGTTCTGTTGGTTGTATTTTATCCCAGCTTTTATGTAGTGTTAAAAAACTGAAACAGGAAGTGCTTCTGGACCAGTGTTGTTTACATCTTGTGAAATGGTCTATAATTATAAAGTTATTTCATCTTTCTAACAGAATAGCAAAGTCCACCTCACAACTATTACAATAACTGTAAAAATAACTAATTATAATAGTCACGGTAACAATAACTGCAGCGGAAACAATAACTATCAGTAACTAACAATATCTGTAATGGTAACAATAGTGGCAACAATAACTAACATAACAATAAAAGTAACAATAACTGCAACGGTAACGATAATTGTAATGGTAACAGTAATAATCAATTACCGTAACGGTAACAATAACTGCAACGGTAACAGTAACTGTAACAATAGCTGTAACGTAACAGTAAATCAATAACGGTAAGAATAATTATAATGGTAACAATAACTGTAACGGTAACAATAACTAACAGTACCAATAACTGTAACGGTAACAATAACTGTAATGGTAACTAACTGTAACGGTAACTAACTATAACGGTAACAATAACTGTAACAGTAACAATAACGGTAACAATAACTAACAGTAACAACTGTAACGGTAACAATAACTGTAACGGTAACTAACTATAACGGTAACTAACTGTAACGGTAACAATAACTAACAGTAACAACTGTAACGGTAACAATAACTGTAACGGTAACTAACTGTAACGGTAACAATAACTGTAACGGTAACAATAACTAACAGTAACAACTGTAACGGTAACAATAACTGTAACGGTAACTAACTGTAACGGTAACAATAACTGTAACGGTAACAATAACTAACAGTAACAACTGTAACGGTAACAATAACTGTAACGGTAACTAACTGTAACGGTAACAATAACTGTAACGGTAACAATAACTGTAACGTAACTAACTGTAACGGTAACAATAACTGTAACGGTGACAATAACGGTAACAATAACTAACAGTAACAACTGTAACGGTAACAATAACTGTAACGGTAACTAACTATAACGGTAATTAACTGCAATGGTAACAATAACGGTAACAATAACTAACAGTAACAACTGTAACGGTAACAATAACTGTAACGGTAACTAACTATAACGGTAACTAACTGTAACGTAACAATAACTGTAACAGTAACAATAACGGTAACAATAACTAACAGTAACAACTGTAACGGTAACAATAACTGTAACGGTAACTAACTATAACGGTAACTAACTGTAACGGTAACAATAACTGTAATGGTAACGGTAACTAACTGTAACGGTAACAATAACTGTAATGGTAACAATAACTGTAACGGTAACAATAATGGTAACAATAACTTTTAACATAACAATATCGATCAATAATGATAACGGTAACAAGAACTGTAACAGTAACAATAACTATGAGGATAACTAACAATAAAATAAAGTGTGAAGTCTGTATTTGATAACTAACAATAACCAATGATAACTACAGCATTAACAATAATGGTAATGATAACTATAACAGTAACTGTAGCAATAACAGTAATATTAGCAGTAACAAAAACTGTAACTGTAAGCATAATGGTAAAAATAACTGTAACAATAACTATAAACATAACCGTATCAATAACTGTAATAATAACTATAAACATAACCGTATCAATAACTATAAACATAACCGTATCAATAACTATAAACATAACCGTATCAATAACTGTAATAATAACCGTATCAATAACTATAAACATAACCGTATCAATAACTGTAATAATAACCGTATCAATAACTATAAACATAACCGTATCAATAACTATAAACATAACCGTATCAATAACTGTAATAATAACTATAAACATAACCGTAATAATAACTATAAACATAACCGTATCAATAACTATAAACATAACCGTATCAATAACTGTAATAATAACCGTATCAATAACTGTAATAATAACTATAAACATAACCGTATCAATAACTGTAATAACTATAAACATAACCGTGACATTTTGATAAGCACTCTACGTCCACAGCACAGCACTACACTGACACAGAGAAACATTAATGTAAGAATCACTCTCAGAAGTATGTTTTCCAGCTGATCAACGATACCAACAGTGTGTGTGTGTGTGTGTGAGTGTGTGTGTGTGTGTGTGTGTTCACTTACGAACAGCCCCTTGAAGGCTTTCTTCTCGTTGATTCTGTAGAGGCCCTCTGCATACGTGACCTTTATGTGTCGCGTGTCCATGTTGAACCTGAGACAGAGACAGAGAGGCGTGTCACTGGAGCGCTTTGATTGACAGCTGTCAGTCAGCGTGTTTGACGTGTTCACAGTACTTGAGGCTGATGGCGTATTCTCCAGCGTCTTTCTGTCGCACCAGAAACGTCCCGTCAGAGCGAGAGTTCAGGAGAGTTTTAGCACCGGCCCGGTCCATGTTCCCAGCAAACCTGAAACACACACACACACACACACACACACACACACACACACACACGATGAGTGAAACGGTGAGACCTCTGTTGTTAAAGGAAGGAGTGAATAAAGATGAAGTGTGTGTTTACCAGGGCAGTGCTGTCAGGTCTGGAGGAATCGCCTGCGGAGACACAACACACTCTCGAGTCACTAGAAGAAACGCTTGTGTAGACGTGGAGTAACATCGCAACAATTTTTATATTAATGACAAGAATCTAATCAAAGAAACTTTGGGGAATAACCTTTTATTTATTGGCAAGTTTTATATCCATAAATGTAAATATACCAAAAATAAACCCCGCTTTTAACATCTTCAAACAACAATCGACTGAATTGATTTCAATGTCTGTGAATAAAAAAGCAATAAAAACAAGTTTAATATTCTTTCATAATTAGCTTTTATTCTTTTTTGTTTTTTTCTTTTTCTTTCTTTTTCATCTCTTGGCAAATAATTTTCAATAGATAAATCAGGCTTATAATATTTCTTAGTGACTATTGAATTATAACTTGTTTATTGTCTAAAAGTTTTTGTTAAGAAAAAAAAAGAAACGAGTTTCTAGGAATTGTCAAGCAGATTTTGTATATATATATATATATATATATAAATATATATGTGTGTGTGTGTGTGTGTAAATATATATTATTATATTATTATATACATTATATCTTTCAGTAGAGTCCAAATACAAGAATATTTACATCTAATTTAATTTTTAAACCTGGAAATAACCAGAACAATGTGTCTGTCACTAATCGTATGCTGACATTATCAAAACCAAGCTCATTTAAATAAAAAGGGGAATAAAAATAAAAGTGTGTGTGTGTTTCTCACCGGTACGAACGGCTGCACTTTACTGCAGGGAAACCAGCCGACCTCGCCGATGGTCAGATTCCTGCCCTGAAACGAGACCAAAAGAAATCCCAGATTACCAGCAGAAGAGCCACCGAGGACACGAGAACTGCAGACGCACTGGTTTCTCTTCTGCATTACCAGAACTGAGCGAAACTCGTGTGTGTCCTGCTGTGGCCGCACACACACACACACACACACACACATTTGATTTCTTTATTTGAATCTGCCAATCAAATTTCTTACGGAAAGGATTGAGATATTCTCAGAGATAACACAGCTTTGACATTCGAGAGTCCATAAAGCATCGCTTTATTACTGTGTGGATGCTCATCTTTGGATGTGGGCGGGGCTATAACCTGTCCCTCACATGAGATCAGCCAATAGCAAACCACAGCCATCCAATCAATTCCTCACAGACACAATCAAGCCCCGCCCACATGTGTTCCTGTCGCAGAAGCGTTTCACTCGATATATGACACAAACAAGCGGCAACCCCCGGTCCCTTAACCTGCAGTTCCTCCTCTGGCCACTAGAGGCGCTGCAGGAGACACTCTCTCCCATAGACACGCATGTTAAAATGGCCAACTGTACAGCACAAAAACACACGTGCTAACAGTGGTTTTGGTCTATATCGCTAATGTTGTCCTTCATGACGACTGTGACGGGGGTGAATATTTTTATAACTCATCCGTTCTGCATAATTAAGGGCGTGGCCACTT